AATCCGGCCCGGATCGACTAAAAAAAAAATCTGGCAGGCTTAATTTATAGTCTTAGTTAGTGATCCATTTGCAATTTCTTTGGCCTCTTCAAAGAATTTCAGAAATTACTTTATCGAATTTTTATGAAGGAGCATAAAAAGCGGCACAAAACCCCCCAATAAAACTAGCAGAATAGGATCCAGGGACTTGACAGCACCAGAAACCGGTGAAGGGCAAATTTAGGTCGAATAAACCGTTTTCTTTTCTTGTTTTTTTTTTTTTTTTTTTAATTGAGAAAAATATTTTCAAATACAGTTGTTTTCAAAGAATATATTGACTCATCTATTTATAAACCCCTGGAATGTGTCGAGTAAACAATACGTACTCGAACATATGCAAAGCTTTCTTCAATATTTCGCTAGATTTCTGTCATCAGTGCGTTTCTATTCCATAAAACTTCAGTTCGTATCGCTGAAAATGTGTTCGTGTGAAGTATTTTTATCTTTATTGTTCTTAACTATACAATGCTCAGGTGAATATCAAAGCTATTAACTGTACTCCAACTTTTAAAATTAATTTCAACTTCAGGAATAGATTCTGAAGACAAATTTAAAAAAAGAACTCAACATCTTTTATACTTCAGAAATTGCGTGAGACAATAAAAAACTTTGAATATTAAAAGCTAATATAAATATTGCGAAAAATTGCAGAGCTACTGCGTTTGACACATATCAAGTGAATTATGATCCAAAGATGGCTGCAGACTTTAAATTTCCCGCAGCTGGGATGGTAAAAATCAAGAAATTGATTGGAAATCGAAATAAAATTATTTTACGTTTTTTGGGCTTCGAAGATTTGTTTCATAGTCCTTGAAATTGCTGATTTTTTCGAAAAAATTAAATCGAGAAGATACCAATAATCGAAGCCCGATAATGGTATAGGATTTCCTATATAAACCTTGTAACTAACAACACCTCTAATAATTATTTAATCGGTTCATCACGATTGTGACACAAAAGTGAGGTTATGTCAACCAATTCATTTTTATTGATTTAATATTTTTGAATATTTTGGACAGAAAATCTCACAAAATTAAAAAACAAAAGATTTTTTATTTTCAAAAATGTAAGAAATTAAAATCTATTTATTTCTACTGTTTTATTTTAACAGTTTAATGCAGTTTAATCGATTCATAATGATTTTGCCAAACCGTGACGGCCATATTGTCACAAACGTCAACTAGTACTCGGAATACGCATTAGAGGTGTTGCACGGGCATGATCAGGCTTCGCCAATAATTAAATCGATTTTTTTTTCTTTTAGCCGGCATTCCATTCAAAACAGCAAAAGGTGAATTTTGATTTAAGAAAAAAAAACCGTATGATTTATTTTTCGTGCTTAATCACTTCTTTATAGCACCTAGCACAAATGAGTGATACAAACGCTACCTCTTGCATCATCAGTTATAGTTGTCATAATTGTTCATTAAGAGAGTTCAAATATGTTTCGACAATGAAAAAGCGTGTTCCAAGAGTTGTTGAAATGGCCAGTTCGTTCATTCAAAATATTGTCACTTCAAACAAATTTAACATTAACTTGCTTGTTTTCGATATATTTGAGTGGATTTCCAGAAAAAAAAATATTTTTGTTTATTCGAAGAGAATTTATTATTTTTTTATTAAAAATTATATAACATTTCTATTAAAAAAATTATGAGAGGATGTAGTATTTAACGATCGAAATTTAATGATATGAATTTCTGTAGTATCCAAGCTGAATTTTTCTGCCTATATAAAAAAAAAGTTTCGTATAAGAAAATAAATGCCAATAAAATAAATGGACAATTACCTGCATATCACACTAAAGATCTTTTTCCCTTCTTTCGAATGGTGGAGTACATTTGTGCGCCAACTATCATAAATATAATTATGCACAACATGACCAAAACAACGTCGAGCGAAATAATTGTTATTTGCAGTGACGATGGAGTACCCAATTTCTTGATTGCTTGGCGTATTTCAGTTATGTCCGATTCAATCTTTTCCTGTGCTGCTATTTCAAATGCATGTTTTACAGAACCTTTAAAAAAGCCCAGATATTTACTTCTTGAAGTTCATTAAAGTAATTTTACTTAACAATCTCTACCACAATATTCGAAAAAAAGATATTTGAGTATTTTATATGTTGGAGTATTTAAACAATGCTGATGTGCTCATCAAAGAGGGAAACTATATAAAACAATTTATTGACTAAAAATCAAACTCAGTGCCCATGACTAATGAAAAAGCATAACACAAAAATCTGCGTGGTTGCTCACCTCATTTTCATTTGAAATAAAAATAAACATTTTACCTTTGCCTGAAGCCAAGTCACGGGGAGTTTTTCCATTAATATTTTTTGCATTCATGTTGGCTCCGTTCTGAATTAAAATTTCCATCACTTCTGTTCTGCCTGAAATATTTTAACACATTAGCTATACTAAAACCTCAATCTGGGCACAGCAATTATTTCGGTTCGAATGTTTAAAAAGAAAGGTTCTTACCTTCTTCTGCTGCGTAATGCAGTGGCGACGATTTATTTTTATCTTCTGCATTGACATTGGCACCGTGTTCAATGAGGAGCTTGATCCCATTTATGTTACCTGGATCGAAAATAAATGATTTAAAAATTAACATTTAATTCACAGGCTCGCTCGATTGTTTGGAACTCTTACCTTCTTTTGCAGCCACATGAAGTGGGGTTTGTTTTTCCGAATTGACCTCGTGTTCAACGAAAAATCTGATAATATCCTTTTTATCTGGTCAAACATTCAAACATAGAATATAATTCATAGTTCGACTCGAATATCTTTGTACTGTTACCATATTTTACAGCTATATCGAGGGGCGTCAGTTTATCGTTATCCTCTGCAATAACATTAGCCCCATTTTTAAGTAGTAGATCGATTACACCTATAATACCTGCATGAATATCAAGAGTTCATTATTTTAGTTTGACTTGATTATTTCGCAGAGCAAAGATGTGCACTAATTAATAAAAGTACACATCCAAAAATGAAGATGATACTACATAGAGAGATGGTTGCTCTTACTTTGCTCATTTCTCTGTGGATTGTTTGGATTGAAGCCATTATTTGCGACATAATGTAGTGGTGTCCATTTGTCTGCAGTTTCTGCATTAACATCAGAGCCGTTTTTAATAAGAAGTTCGGTTATATCCACATTAGCTATCGAAAAATCAATCAAACATTAAAAAGAATTCAAATTTAATCGCAATCGTCTCAATTATTACCATTCTGTGCAGCAAAGTGTAATGGCGTTACATTTTTTTCATTCGCTACATTAACATCAGCACCATAATTAATGAGAAGCTGTACCAAATCTTTTTGACCTAGAGGATTCATGAAACATTGAAATAAATTCGCAGTTAAACTCGATTATCTAAACTATTACCATTTAGTGTAGCGTAAAGGATTGGCGTCCATTTCTCATCAGTTTGTGCACTTATATTTGCACCATGTTTGATTAAAAGTTTGGCAATATCCCCATCACCTGGAGGATTCATTAAATAATAAAACATTGATTGAAATCATAATTAAAATTAATGGATATCTTTTACCTTTTTCTGTAGCGCAATGTAACGGCGTCCATTTATCTGCAGTTTCTGCATTAACTTCAGCCCCATTTTGAATGAGCAGTTCTGCTACATCCATTTTACCTGGTGGATTAATTAAACAATAAAACATTCAATGAATTTTATAGATCATCTCGATTATTTTGACAATCACCAGAATATACAGCATAGTAGATTGGCGTCCATTGATTGTTAGTTTCTGCATTAACGTCAGCCCCGTTATGAATGAGCAGTTGGATCACGTCCTTATGACCTGAAAGATTAATGAAGCAATTAAACGAAGGAAAAAATGTATAGATCGATTCGATTGTTTGGAATATTACCTTTTTCTACAGCGTAATGGAGCGGCGTCAATAAATTGATATTATTATTTGCATTAACATCGGCCCCGTGATCAATGAGAAGTTTTGCATTTTGCGTTGTACCTGAAATTGATTAACCAAACGAAAAATTTAAGGAATTCATAGTTAATCGTGATTATTAGGATAATCACCATAATATGCAGCTACATGCAGTGGCGTAATATTATTTATATTTGCCGCATTAACATTGGCTCCTTTTGCGATGAGCAGATTGACAATTTTTGTTGAATCTGGAAGGTTAATCAAATATTGAAATTCATAGTATGATTACCTAAGAGTTTCATTACCCCTTTCCACAGCGTAATGAAGAGACGTGGATCCGTCGATATAGCTTGCGTTGACGTTCAATTCACTTTCAATCAGTTGGTCAACCCCATTTACGTCGTCTAGAAATGAAATAAAGCAAAATCTCATAAAATTTCGACAGCTAAAGTCCGAATAATTTAACAGCTAATTTGGCATATTTCCATGTATGACTGTTGATGAAAATTGTTGCTACAGCATTGACATCTATCCTAGAGGGTAGACACAAACTAGAAAACTAAAAAAACTAAGAAAAATTAGGACTTATTAGGTCCTGTCAAATGTACACGTTATATGAGACCTAAAAAATTAGGATAAACTAGAAATATTAGAGCCCATGTCTCCCTTAGCATTTATCACATACTGTACAACTTACACAAATTAACTTAAAAACCTTTTTTATAATATTTAAGATAAGATGGTTTCTGTATCTGTGCTTATATATGAAAAACACTCTTTTTTTCATATTGAATGGTTACTCGCTGGCAACACATTTGCTTTAATTTTTGTTGCGAAATTCAAAACATACAAATAACACTATGTTATGATTATGACTCTTCATAAAAAACAAAAAATATATCGATTCGTTTCACAACATTGGCGAATTAGTAAATAAACAATAAAGGCCGTTCTCGATATCGTGAAAAATGACATTAAACCATAATATTCGACCAACATAACCATGTTTACCCGAAAAAAATGAAAAAGTAAAAAATTGGTGAAAAACCGTTTTGGACCATGAAGTGCCGAAACCTTCCAAACGGTGACCTAATCATTCAGATCGGTTGAGCCGTTCAGCCGTTGGAAGCAACACATACACAAGCATACTTTCGTTTTTTATGTATACGTATAGATTACCATTCTTGACATATTGATAAAACTTAGTCCAGACTCCATTTTCTTCTTTCTTTACTCTTGCTTGAATTCCAATGACAAGGCACACACAAAATAAGACTAATGAAAACTTCATCTTTTCTCACTAGAACTGTTCGAGAAATGATTAAAAAATCAACAGAACAGCTGAATCGTATAAGTTTTGAAATTATTAGCAACAAAAAACTTCGCGTATTCTTTCTGATTTTAAACTTTGAATGTGCACATAATTATTAAATGAAAAATTGTCTAATACATAAATAATTTAAAGAAAATAAAACGTTGGCCTTCAATTTGAACTTTTGCATCAACGAAAATGTAGCACGTACGACTTGATGTTTACACTCGAAATAAAGCAATTGGCAAACGTGAACGTCTTCAATCATTTGAATGACAAATATTATCAGTTAACAAAATTTTGGTGCAAAAAAACTTCTTTATAAGTGAAATAGAATCATTATACAAATTATTCAAATTAAAATTGTGGGTCCATTCGTGTTCGCGATGAACAAAAAAAAACAAATTATTTAATTTGAGTTAAATTTAATTAATTTCCATTATTTTTCCATCACTGTGGATCATTGACATTGAGCAAAACAACACACATACACAGTATGTCATATACTGTATGATAAACATTAATTCCATTCTAAAAGGACAAATTTCTTGCAACAGATTATGTGATGACAATTATATTGGGTTAGCTGGAAACCAATGAAGTTGCGAATAAGAAGTCGATAGATTGACGTTTTGAACAAAGCTCTTTATCATATGATTGTCCGAGAATGAATGTGAGTCTTCTCCTGAGAGTTTATTGAAATGTAACACCGCCATACAAAAATTGCTGACAGTCAGACTCACATTCATTCTCGGACATTCATATATCCATTATCCAAATGCACCAACCGCAATTAGCGATACAAACAACAATTCTCAAAAGTAAATTTTCCATTCAACTACATGCTAATCATAAGAAATTCCGTAACATCACGTCCGGATCTCTAACGATCGAAAGCTGAACATTCGATTGCCAAGGTTAAATGTTACGCATGTGGCCTCTATCAAAATTCAGTTCAAAGTGTCAAATAGCTCTTTTCAATGGACGATTTTTTGAATTTAGTGTCCATTGATAACAAAATAGCAGCATTTAACAAATTCGTTCGGAACAATAAAGCAAAGGCATGAAATGTAAAAAATATGAATTGAATGACCGTTCCTTCTATCGTAAACAGATTGATGTGCATGTGTGTGTATGGTTCTGATTATCAATTTTTAATTATACGACTTATCACAATCTGAAATTTGCAAAATATTTTGTTTGTGAAAACACTTTCATTCACTATTTACATTCATTTGTTTTATTCTTCATTGGATACAAATTAATTGGATATTTTACGATCGAAACTAAATGATATGGATTGTATCTGTCCGATATCAAGTTATATCTGAATAATCTTGCCTATAAATCAAAAGGAAAGTATAAATAATTATATACGTATTAAAGGTCAATAAAATAAACGGTTAATTACCTGCATCATGCGTATTATATTGACGACTATTTGCCATTTCTTCTGATGGAAGAATATATTTTTGTACCAACTAGCATAAATAGAATTATACACAATAAGATAAAAACAATGACGAGCGAAAGGCTTGCTGTTTGAGATGACGATGGAGTATCTAATTTCTTGATTTCTTGGCGTATTTCAGCTATTTCCGATTCAAATTTATCCAGTGCTTGGTTAGCGATATTGTTGGTATCTTTAAAAAAAATCTCAGATATTTACTTCTTGAAGTTCATTAAAGTAATTTTACTTAACAATCTCTACCACTATATTCGAAAAAAGATATTTGAGTATTTTATATGTTGGAGTATTTAAACAATGCTGATGTGCCCATCAAAGAGGGAAACTATATAAAACAATTTATTGACTAAAAATCAAACTCAGTGCCCATGACTAATGAAAAGGCATAACACAAAAATCTGCGTGGTTGCTCACCTCATTTTCATTTGAAATAAAAATAAACATTTTACCTTCGCCTGAAGCCAAGTCACGGGGCGTTTTTCCATTAATATTTTTTGCATTCATGTTGGCACCATTCTGAATCAAAATTTCCATCACTTCTGTTCTGCCTGAAATATTTTAACACACTAGCTATACTACAGCCTCAATCTGGGCACAGCAATTATTTCGGTTCGAATGTTTAAAAAGAAAGGTTCATACCTTCTTCTGCTGCGTAATGCAGTGGCGACGATTTATTTTTATCTTCTGCATTGACATTGGCACCGTGTTCAATGAGGAGCTTGGTCCCATTTATGTTACCTGGATCGAAAATAAATGATTTAAAAATTAACATTTAATTCACAGGCTCGCTAGATTGTTTGGAACTCTTACCTTCTTTTGCAGCCACATGAAGTGGGGTTTGTTTTTCCGAATTGACCTCGTGTTCAACGAAAAATCTGATAATATCCTTTTTATCTGGTCAAACATTCAAACATAGAAAATAAATCATAGTTCGACTCAAATAACTTTGTACTGTTACCATATTTTACAGCTATATCGAGGGGCGTCAGTTTATCGATATCCTCTGCAATAACATTAGCCCCATTTTTCAGCAGTAGATCGATTACACCTTTAATACCTGCATGAATATCAAGAGTTCATTATTTTAGTTTGACTTAATTTTTTCGCAGAGCAAAAATGAGCACTAATTTATAAAAGTGCACATCCAAAACTTAAGATGGTACTACAAAGAAAGCTCTTACTCTGCTCGTTTCCCTGTGTATTTTTTAGAGTGAAGCTATCATTTGCGGCAAAATGTAGAGGTGTCCACTTATCTGCAGTTTCTGCAGTAACATCAGAACCTTTTTCAATGAGAAACTTGGCCACATCCATTTTACCTGAAGGATTAATAAACAATTACATATTGAATTAAATTCTAGATGAAATTCATAGTTCATGATGATTATTTAAGCTATTACCATAATAAATAGCTCCATGGAGAGGTGTCCATTTACATAAATTTTTTGATCTAATGCTGGATTTGCTTGCAAGAATTTTGACATTTTCCATTTTACCTGAAAAATTGATTTAAAAAAACATTAGAAAGAATTTATAGTTTGATTCGATTGTTTGGAATATTACCTTCAAACGCAGCATAATGGAGTGGAATCGAATGCATATTTTCTTCTGCACTAACATCGGCCCCGTGATAAATGAGAAGATTGACCATTTCTGGTGTACCTGGATGATCCAAAAAAACATTCAAATATTGAAAGGAATTGATACTTTGAATCGATTATTTGGACTCCTACCATTTTCTGCAGCTACATGAAGAGGCGTCACATTATTTCTATCTTTCGCATTAACATTGGCTCTTTTTGAGATGAGCAGTTTGGCTATTTTCGTTGAATCTGGAAGGTCATGAACCTTAAAATATTGAAATTCATAGTTCGAATGGTCTAACGTTAATACCCCTTTCTACAGCGTAATGGAGAGGTGTTGACCCATCGATATAACTTGCGTTGACATTCAATCCACTTTCAATCAGTTGGTTAATCCGATTTATGTCATCTAGAAATGAAATAAAGCAATAAAGCAAAATCTCATAAAATATCGACGGCTTATGTTCGAATAATTCCATTTTGTGACTGCTGATGAAAATTGTCGCTACGGTATCGCATACTGTACAGTTGAAAAATTTTATAATTTTTCACATGCACATTTCTATATACTTGTTTATGCATACCCTTGTGGAAAAAAAATGACTGACTGACTATAAATTTAAGTCAATTTTAATCACTTTTATTCGGTTAAAATTACCAATAGATGATTGAAATCTAATATAGTCGGTTATATTTCAGAGTTAACTAATTATAGTCAACATAGTTGACAAAAGTCAATTTCATATACTTATAGTTAACCGTAGTTAACTATGATCACAATCGACATTTCTCAACTCAAATTACACGAAGACGCATATAGTCACTTATAGTTAACTTTAGCTGGCTGAAATATCAGCCATTTTTGTCCCAAATTAGTCAATTTTTAGTCGACTATGAAGTCGAAATATTTCCACAAGGGTATATATGATTAATTACCATCCTTAACAGAGTGATAAAGCTTAGTCAAGTATATATGTTCTTCTTCCTTTACGTTTGCTTGAATTCCAATGACAAGGCATACACATAATAAAACTAACGAAAACTTCATCTTTTCTCACTACAACTGTTCGTGAAATTATTACAAAATCAACAGAAATTCGGCTGAATCGTAGCAGTTTTGAAATTATTAGCAGACAAACTTTATGCTTTTTTAACAAATGTGCTTGAATGATTAGTATATGAAAAAAATGTCTAATATTTGTTTATTCAACGATAATTTAACACGTACGACTTGATGTTTACTTTCGAAATGAAGCAATTGGCAAATTTGAACGTCTTTTGATAGAATTATCTGTCTTCTATTTAATATTTGAATGACAAAAATTATCAGCTGCCAAATGCTTCTATGTCGTGAAACGATTTTGATGCAAAAAAAACTTCTTTACAAGTAAAAAATCATAAAATTCATGTTAAAATGAAAAAAAATTAAAATTTTGGACTATCTGAGTGAGGAGAGAAATTAATTGAATCGTTGTCAAGAAATAGCAGTTATTTTTCTCTAAATAATACTAAAATATGAAGTTTTTTTAAAAAAATAGTTCATTTGTTGTCTTAAAATAGATAACATTATCGCAGCTGCGACGCAGCAATGAACGTGAGGCCAAAAAGTAACAAATAAAAAAAAGTGTTCATTCAAAACTCCACGAACGGTGACATCGAGGATAGAATGAAAGGGCTTGAAAGGTCGGTACTGTCGCAAATAGGTATGAAGCGGTATATTATCAACAAATAACACAAAAATTTACTCGGGCCAGTATAACAAGGACATTATTAAGGAGATTTTGAAGAGCAGCTATTTGTTGATAATGTTTTGGTATTAGAACATCACAATCTTTGTTAAAAATATAAAAAAAAGAACATTTTCGCATTTGTTTATTCAAAGAAATTGTTTTTATTATAAACTAAATTAGCTTATCGGCATTACCGTCACAGACAGGATAATTAGTTAATTTTCCAATTTAATCTTGAGTCGTCTCTTTTACATTATATTTTAAAACTATTAACTTGTTTTGTATCGTTTAAATGAAATAAAGTTTTTCGTTCTCCCGCAAAAAAAAATCTTTCTCTACCTTGTTGCACTTTAAATATCAAGAGCCTTTAAAATTGTCACAAATCGTCCTATAATATAGTTGTTTACGGTCTCATAGATGCAATGTGTTTCCCCTTCCACATGTCTATAAACGTCCACTTTTGAAAATACAAATTTGAACCGAGAGATTAGTATCGATCAATGTCAATATTTCAACGACAAATTCATTTAAAATATTACAAAATTGTTCGAGTAATTTTTTTTCTGTCTTTTACAAAAAGATTGCATCTACTTGTATTTGTAAATCAATTGAACAAAGTGATTTTGTTCGATGTTTGTTTGTTAAATATCATTTTCTGTACAGCAAATCTCATTCGAGAAAGTAAAGAACGTTTTCTTCACGCTTTGTCATTTTGTGTTTGTTTTTTGATTAATTATCATGTTGTCCACATTGTATTTTGTTCGAATGTGCTAAAAGAGAAAGCTTTTCGCTAAGGACCGCTTTCAGTTGCATTCTTGTAATTCTCCTTCGACATTTTGTTGTTGGGCTGCTGCAGCTGCTTTGACCACCATACACGAACGAGCCACCGACTCAAATAGCCTAAAAAAACCGAGATTGAAAACGAACATAAATACATGGTTCGAAAGTCAAATAGCAGTCATTTCAACATACTTTTCAATTTCTGGTGCACAATGTACGAAATCATGGTCCCAGAATTTGTAAATTGGATTCTTGATCAATTCAATGAATGTGATCAATAGACCCCATGGATGTGGCCGATTAACGATCAAACGTTCCAGTAGAACACGTGTGATTTGTTCCTGAAAATCAAATAATAATCATAATTATACGTGTGTTCATCGAGACTAAGGCAGAAATAAAAACTCACCTGGATTGCTTCAGAGTTTGCCTCAACAAAGAGATAGAGCAATGTACAGCTGAAGTAGTGTGTATGACTGTTGGGATAACGCAATTGATTTGCAACAGCGTTCAAGAATAGATAGCGTCCCTCGTGATCCAAATCAACAATTAGATTTTGGAAAATGTCCATGTGCGAACAATGAACAATGGTTGTCATGTTTGGTACGAGATTCTTTGAACTGAAATAAAGCAAAATTTAATCGATTATTAGAATGCCATTGAAATGACAAAACAATTGTGTCACAATCTATTTACCGTATGTGGGCAATGGCTTGTGTTCCAACATATAGTACCAAAGCGTTCATCAGTGGGACGTTATACTTTGAACCGGCTGTATTTGATATCTGCAAATGGCTACGTAGTTCGGACAAAAATGTAACCGGCACACGTGCTTTCAAGTATGCGTCCAAATCTTTTTTGAATGATGTCGGTTGAATGTTGGCCACATAGTTTGTGAATATTCTGGGTGCGGTTGTGATTTCGTTCAGCATATCAACTTTAAGATTTGGCGTGAATGGATCCGGTAGTCGCATATTACGTGGAAATGCTGCCAAAATCAGATTTCGCATTTGAATACAATTCGATGGGATCACATCACAGAATCCGAAATGGAAGTCGCATAAAAATTCAGGAAAATCATGCAACAACACAAGCAACACGCGTAATGTTCCTTTGTACAACAATTGAACGGGTTTGGCCAATTCGGCATTGCGCAAGAATGGCGCCAAATAACGGAAGAGATCCAACAACAGTTGCGAGTACATGGCCCATCCTTTTTGTTGTGGTGTCAATGCCAAAATCCGACCAATAAATACACGATGCGAAATGAGCTCAAGCCATGAATAGCAAAATGCTGGCGCAATTGATGGTCGTAGAATGTGATATGTGTGACAGAATGCGGTCGATACGCTCAAACTGATTGAATCCAATTCGGGTGCGCTTAATTCCAAAAAGAGCATAATAAAAAGACGATGATAGCCAAGTTGCTGGAATGATGTACCTTGTTGCTCTTGATCTTGCAACAATACACCGACAATTATGCCCAAAATTTTATTGAGCAAATTTATTTTGGTCGTTGCATTCGGATTATCGCCCGAATATTTAACAATCAATGCAATCAAACGAACAAACGAATCAATGTAGTGGAAAATTTTCGTCTTATTTTGTTGTGGCGATGTTGATGGATCGTTTAAATTACGATAAACCAAATCGATGCACCATTGTGTCGCCTGTCTAAAGAAGCGTGTGATCAATTCGTCGGTTTTGAGTACACCATACAAATTCAATTTGTTCACAAACAAACTGAATGATTTCATGGCGCTGGCATCACGGCTGCCGCCCGCATTCATGTGATAATTGGTGGCCCAATCTTTCAATAGATACTCCACTTTGTCGGCCATGGCCGGATCGTTGAAGTCATTCGATCGCACTTGTAAGATGCCCGAATGAATGTGTGACGTGGGTCCAGAATTGGCACGATCAAAGGCCATTGAATTGGGATCGTTAGCAAGTCGTAGCATTTCAATCAAGTGCGGTAGTCCCTCTGGTGCTCGATGCAATGCCGCCAATCTGGCCAACATTTCAATCGTATTGTAGAAATCATTTTCGCTAATCAATGGATTTGGACGATCGTCGATGAAATAATGTTGCACCAATTGCATTGCAAAGCCAACGGCCAAAAAGTTATTTCCATTGTCCATCAATTGGCTGAGCATGTAATCATATTGTGATACATTGGCAAAGTTTGATGAAATCAACAACTCAACCGCTTCCATATTGTAACGAATATCTTCGCGACATTCAATCATACATTTGGTTATTGAACGTTGTGTAAACATTGGGCCATATGCTCGGCTGTCTTGCATCCATTGCAACAATCGGAAATGAATGTCGCGATAGTGCTTAAGCAATTCACCGTGTTCAGTGTTGTGGGTAATTCCTTCCATTATATTTTCAACGGCACGATTCAATAGGCTGACCGCACTCATTTCGTCACGGGCACGTCTTGCTGTCATCAAACAATCGAGCAATGCGTGCATATTTGTTACGTGCATTTGAAGTGCCGGTATATTTATGGAACTATTCAAAAATGCTTCCATTTTACTGCCCAACTCTTCGAATTGGAAACCAATTTCGTTTGTATTGAACATTGCACCGTGCGATGTTTGCGTCAAATCGGAGAATGGTGCAACGGGCATTACATTTTCCTGCTGCAAAGAGAAAATAATTTTGAAAAATCATGGTTGGAATTGAATTTTCATCACGACATTGATCACTTACCGGTGGTACAGTGGATTTCTGTAAAAGTAATGCAGCTGCATCACGTTCGGTCATCGGCTGGAATCCAGGTATATTTCGAGCGAATTCATCGTAAACTGAGAATTGAACGCTTGAAATGCCACCAACTTTCAAACGAATTTGCTCCGGCATTCGAGCTGTTTGATAGTTAAGCACGGCTGAATCACAATGTCGTCTGAAATGAGTGTCGAACAAAAAAAAAAATGAATTTTAAATAAAAATCAAAGAAAAAGGAAGAGAAATTGTGAAGGTTGTGTTTGATTTACCTTCCTTCTTGACGAGCAATTTTTCTAAGTTCAAAGTCAGAGTGTAGTCGTTTTTCAATTTCCGGAATTGCCTTCTCAATGGCCGTCTTCTGTATGTATGCGCACGCCAATTCGGTGTTATCGTTTGCAATTTGTGTGGCCAATTCATTCAATTCGGGTGGATGCGGTGTCATCGATGTGGTGAATGCCGATATAATATTCTTCTGAATAACACTATTCAATTGATCTCTGCATGTTATCATTGCCATGCCGGCTGTTAAATTTCGTACCATATAGTGTGCGGCTTTTCTCATTCGCGTTTCGTCCGGATCCAATGCGAAATCTTTTCGCATAATTTGTTCGCATGTATTGACCGCAATGCGAACACTGCGATCAACGACCGGTGTCAACCATTCGGAAATTGTGCGTTCAATGGCTGTTCGTACAATTTGTTTCAATTGTGGATGAGCGTGTAGTATGGTAATATTTGGTGAATAGACAATGTGCTGTGCCAAATTCGACATGCTGCCAATGGTGATGTCGGTGAAATTGAATCTCGGCTCTGGTGGTCCGGTCGATTGTTCACCGCTTTGACTTGGCGATGTCGATGGTTGCATTTGTGCCGAAGTCGATTCAGCTTCACTTGTTGGTATTGCCATTTGCTGTGGCGTCGAACGTGGTTGCAACAATTCTTCCTTCTTTGGTTGTGACAATTGATATTCAATTGTATTTAATCGTTCCGGATCTTTTAGATATACGGCCGGTTTCAAGTCGGCCACATCTATCGACAGTGTTTTGCATAATACTTCGATTTCAAATTTAAGATTTAACTTTAGATTTTGTTCCTGATGCAATTCAGCCAATACATTCATGATGCCCATTGTCCATGGATTTGGTGGTTTGAATACTTTACTCTTTGCGCACGATTCAACGATTTTTGCCACAAATGGCACCACATACAATAGTTCCTGTTGACCCTTATGGTATGCCTCGGCGAGTAACGATTTTAAGTCAAGATCAATGTGAAGGATGGGACGATTTCGACCCAATGTCATCATACCTAACCAATGGCCAAGATTTTTTAATAGGCTTCGATCGGAAAAGTTTTCAATTCCTTTGTCCGAACGCAATAGAACACGAATATTGCGAAACGTTTCTTTGGTTACCAAACGAATGATGTCAGGATTTTTTAGTGCATCCAAGAAATTCGAATATAATGCATGGAAATTTAATTCGATCGATGCACGTTTCAATACCATGTACTGTGACAACCATGGCCAATAGTCTTTGGTCATGATCTCTTTCAGCTCTTCGCATTTTGCTTGCATATTTATTTGACTCAAATTATTGAATATAAATGCCGTCTTATCTTGAATGGCATCCGGCGGCAGTGTTATTTTCTCTTCACGATCGGCTGTCGCTACGAGCAATGTATTGATATTTGTTGCATTTGCAATTGATTTTAGATTTCGCGGTGCAATAGCCGCTGCATTTGCGATTGGTGTTGCTTTTGTCGTTGGCGTTGTCGCCAAATTTCCAGTCACCGAATTACTGCGGTACAAGGCCGACGCATTTGTGGGCATCACCTGTCCCAATGGCTGAATGAAAAAAAAACAGACACAGAAAAAATATAAGATAAATATTGCTTTTATCATTGGAAGTTTTGGACTTTTTGGAGTTCTCCCCCCATTTCGATCATTTCCTGCATTAGAAAAGTTCAAATTGCGAGGAGGCTACAAAAAGTGTCCGATTCCAATAAATAAAAAAAAAATAAAAAATATATGCTTACCACTTGACTTTGTGGTTTATTTGGTGGTTCAATGCCTTTAATGCCGTACTTAATGTATTCGGTGAGATGTGCGGGAAATTCGTTGAAACTTGGAATTTGCTTAAGATATTCGCAATAATTCTGATACAAATATAAACGATTTTTGAATCGATCCAACGACGTAATACCAAAATAGTACATTTTTGATCCTTCTGGCTTCCGGAGTGCTTCCAAAACATATCGCAGTGCGAGACCAAGCTGCTGAGCCGATGGCACCAAATTGCGTTCAATAATTCCGCCAAATAGTTGTGCTGTGATTTGTAGCTCCTTTTCCGGATATTGTGGAAAGAAACGATATTCTTCGAACAGATTTCGTACCATACATTGTTGCACTTCACGTTCACGTTCATTTGTTGATTCTTTAAATCGTTGCAGCATATCGAGCACCTCATCAATTGACAACGTTGGATGCGGCGAATGATTATAAATCCGTTGAAAGTATCCATTGGCTTCATCTTCAACTTCTTTCGATATTTTTTGTGTAATGTCCGGAAAACTGGGATTATTTGCGGTCACATTAAGTTTATCGCCGGTTGGCGTTTGTGCAATTCGACCTAAATTATTGACCGGTGGTAAACCACTCAATGGCACGATTGGCAATTGGAATGGACTATTCGATTGGCCTTGCAGCAATCGTGATGGTGATGCTGGTGTCGATACCAAATTACCAATTAAACTTGTGCTAAAATTAAATGCACCATTTGCCGGTCCGCTCAAATTCAAACCGGCCAAATTTGAGCTTAGGCCAGAGATTGAATCAACCGTTGGTCCGCTGAACATGGCTAAAAGAACGGAAAACGAAATCAAAATTGTAAATAAAACTTTGAACGGAAGTTTTTTTTTTAAACGCTGAGAAGAACTTACATCCAGCAACCGATGAGATGAGATTGGATTCCAAACCACGACGCAAAACACCGGTAGGTGGTGCCTGTTGTTGTTGCTGCTGTTGCTGTTGCTGCTGTTGTTGTCGTTGTTTGTTCATCAAAATGGTACAATTAGTTGACATTTGAACAATTGCATCGGCCAAATCCTGTTGAACACTGCCAACACATGCTTGCAAACAAGTGAGTATTGTGGTGAGCGTTTCATGTGGCAATTGTGCGGCTTTTGGTATTTGATCGTCGGGAATTTTGGCGCCGGTAATTTGTGGACAACGACGTTGTAAAAATGTGACAATCGATTGAACAAATTGTTCGCCATGTTCACGAATTTTATCCGTTAGCCATTTATCAAGCTTAAGATATTCGCGTCGCGATGCCAAGCACGCCAAATCAATGACAAATTGAAATGAACGAACATTCAATAAGCTGGAAAGTGACTTTAAATCTTGGGCCACATCAAGAATGCGCGTTAAACGTGATTGATCATTGTCGCCACGCAAATACCAATCGCTCATCGAATGATTGATTATATGCCGCAATGAGAAATTATTAAATTTCGTTGAATTCCATGCGTGATGCAAAATGGTGCCGGAATTCGGATGATTGCCCAAAAAAACTGGCATCAATGTTTGGAACATCTCTTGCAATAGCACTGTCATCGGTGGACTGATTTGTAACAATGCCATGAATAAAATATCCGGACAATGTTGCATTGGCACTTTAAAATGTTCCAACACCTGGGCATAGTAGCCTTTTTCCGCAATATACAATAGCACTTCAACTAAATGCACCGATCTCCATGCGGCAATCTCTTTGTTATCAGTTTCGGGTGGTGTTTTAAGCAATTCAATCGATACACTGGTGAATATGTGATCGGCAAATGAATAAACGTCGGGATTTTTTAAGATCATTGAAATGAATGACAATTGACCTTCGGTGTTCGTCCATGAACGATAAATGGTATCGGCGGGGAAATGTTGACCGGCACCACTTGATTGCATGCCCAATCGAATAATTGTCATTAATAACACTAGGGCGGCACGGTCTTTAATCACAAACTCACTATGATCCAAACCGATGCACACATCTTTCCAATTCAAATTGGGCGAATGTTCCTTTAATGCTTGGACAAATACTTCGGGCTTCCATGTCGTATGCTCATTGCTTGATGTCAATGTTGAATTTTGATTTTTATCTTTGGACTCTTGGGTTGTTTGAGTATTACCATTATTTGCCGACCAAAATGAACTTGGATTCGGTAAATTTATGCTCAAATCGGATAATGTTTTATGTGTTCGACACATTAACGATATTATTTTAGCTACATCTTGTGCAGATAAATCACGGCCACCAATTTTTATTAAATGATTTTTACACTCATCAGTACTGGCTGTAAATGCATAGCCTATAAATAAATGAATAAAACAACAAATGAAAAAAAAAATGTTTTTCGGTCACAATTATAATGTCTTTTTCATTGCGGGGAAGCAAAAAAGCTATCGAGTGCCATTCAAATACATCGGAATACTTACCAATGTCCATAACAAGATTTGGCCATGATGTATCCATAATGGCCGATGTTAAAATTCCCTGGGAATTTGCTGACATTTTGTCAGCGGTGATCTCGGTATTTTCACTATAAATCAATGGCGCTAAAATCAATGGACAACGTTCACGCGGAAAATCACGACTAAATTGAGATACAAATTTTTTATGTGTTAACTCCGATATACCGTATTTCTTATATTTATCGTGCGATAATAACGATAAAATTAACTGTAATAATTCGGGCGATATATCATTAAGACTTCCTTCTTGATTTGAACGGGCAGTATCTACATTTTAAAAATTGATTCAAACCGAAAAGTAAAAAATCCGATTAATAAAATGCATTTTTCATTGAATAATTCACAAAAATCGTGGAAAAATTTATTGAAATTGATCAATTTACCTATTTCCACATAGGATTGAATCAATGATGGTAGGCAGATTTTTAATTGGCTTTCGGCTAAGCGCACAAATTCGGGAACTTTGGAATAGGTGAGTGCCAACGAAATAACCACTTCAAGAATCGGCGAACAAGTCAACGATTTAAACAATTGATTCAATAAATTTTGCGTTGGCTTTAGTGTCTAATGCAAAAAAACGACATAGAAATAACATTTGATATCGATTAGTCCTTTGTGAAAATTCTCCTTTTGCTTCGTGTGGAAATTCGTTCAAGCTTGTGAAAAATGTGATAAAACTTACTTTTTGTTTGGCAAAACAATTATCGATGGAAAAACAAATGTTTGTAATTAATGATGATTTGCTGAGTAAAGCGTTCAGCTCTTGATTGAGTAATTTTGCTTGCAATGAATGTTTGGCCGTTTGATTGGCGTCACTAAAATCAATGGATGAAAATAAACAACGCAGAAGATGGCGATCTGCTTCTAATCCGAACGGTTTGACGAGCTAAAATGCCGTAAACAAATTGTTTGTCCAAACGTTCCAATAATTTGCAAGAGAAAAAGAACGAGAGAAAAAAAAATCACAAAAATTACTATAATGCACTGTGGTTAAAAGAACCTCCTTCTGAGTTGAAATTATCAAAAATTACAAAGAAAAAAATCTACGTAAAACTGAGAAAATGTATATATAAAAATGCGATATGCCAAAAAAAATGATGCTCTTTTTGCTAATGAGCGTGTATATATGCCTCCTCTAATGAGCCACACACTATGAATGAGCAAACCAAAGGCCACACAAAAACAAAACAGAATATTTCTCTTTTTTTGTTGCGTTCATTCATCACAGAAAACAAAATAAAGTTGACATAAATCTAACACTAAAATGCATGTGAAACTTATTTTTTACCAAATGGATTAGAAATTTTCGTTGATAGTCAATTGAGGATGGGTCACGAATTGGCCATATTCACACAAAAAAAAAACAAACTTTGATTTTAAGAAGCCGAAAATTACACACAATTAATGAGAATGAAAAGAAAACGAAACACACAACGCGACCAGTGCAGAGAATTCACTTAAATCGTTTTGTTATACACAATGAGTAAAAGTTTTTGTACGAGAAGATGGTGGTTGTGTGTCCATAATATACGAGCGTAGCACAGTTAAGAAAAATGCAGTCGAATCTTTCGATGAAAAAAAAAACCTAACACGGACAACAACAAAAAAATTGTTTTTTTTTTCTTTCAAAATGGCGTCTTTGGCGACAATGAGTAACAACGACAGATAACGTACCTACGACAAGTAATATTTTTCTTTGTTGGTGAATGTGTGTGTGTGTGTGTACGTGTGTATATTGTATACCGTTGTTGCGGTTGTGCTCGTATATGATGGACTAGTCTATGCGTAATGAGTGAGTGTTTGTTGTTTCGAATGTGTATCGGTATGAGTGTGTGTATTTTTATGTCATAGTAATAGAGATCGCATGGCTGAAATCCATTCAAACTCAGCCAAATACACACATTGCCGTACGTCAATGTTTCGCTCACAATTTTAGCATTCGGAATAGAAAATTGAAATACTAAAACCTTATATACTACTATGTGTTGAAAACTACGTCTTCAAAATTGCCAGAGAGAGAGATAGAAACTAAATAAAGCATATTTGTTTGTTTTCATTTGTTTCTCTTTTTACAATTCACAATTCTTCAAATGATCATGTTCGTTTTTGGTCATATCGCTTAACAACAATTGTGTGTGGTGTGTCATTCAAATGCCATCGAAACCTTTGAGTTCTAAATCAAAGTACTTATATGGTTGAAATGTCAAAATCGAATCGCTTACAAATACAATGGGTGTTAGAGCGAAAAATCAAATGAATAAAACAATTACCGCAGCGATTTGCCGTGAATTTTGTTCAAAATTTTTCTTGTTCAAGTTAGAAACCAAGTAATTGATCTGCGTTAAGGTGAATGATAAGGCTTCCTGGTTCATAGTTTCATTTAAAGCGGCATTGAGAGTCTTCAAATACGACTCGATGTCGTTGAAGCTCTCATCTGCAATAATTAAAATTTTTTTTTCCTCGAGATTTCAATGAAAAAACTTATCACAATTTTTCGGCCGTCGTTTTTTTTTTTAAATTGTCAGCCGTCTCTATTCGATCTGGTTCTTTTACACTTCGAAGGAATTTTTTTTTCTTTTGGCAGTATTCGTGAAAGATGCAAATGCTTCACTTCAAATTCAAAAATGAATCATTCAAAAAGTGTTTTGTGTGGCTGTGCTGTCGGTAGTGCTTTAAATATGCGCTACCGACACAGCGACAGGATCTCTATTCGAAACGGCTTATCCACTTCTGTATACACAAAAATGCAAATGAAAAATATCTACAGCATCGAAACGTCTAGTTCATAACACCGATAATATGCCCACACTCACGACACAAATTTTTCACTTTTCAACTACGATTTTTGTCAAACTTTTCAATTTTTTTTATATTCTCTATTTTTAGCGCTTAATTTCAATTTTTTCTATACAACACCAAAAAACGGGTCAAATTCGTTCGAATTTCGTCACATAGGTTTTTTTCGGGTGAAATTTAGAGATAACAACAATAATATTATTATTGAAATGTGTGAATGATCGTCTTTCGTTCGACACGTCGTATCACTTTTGTTCGTCGTTGCCTTCTTCTTCTTCTTCTCTTTTAATTTTTATTCATCTTTGATTCGCCAATCGCACTCACCAATGTGTGTATTTTTTCATTTTAATACCAGACAATGTCAATTCAAATACGCAAATTACTTCAACATACGTGCAAGATATGAATTGTGAATCAAATTCGAATCGAGTGCGTTCAATGTTTTATATTGGATAATTGAAATGAGTACGGTTAATGTCGGTTTCTTTTTGGTTGGAATGAAATTCAAATTCGAATTTATATGCAGTAGTATGATTTATTATTCATTGCAATTTTTGAATAATTTGTGGTAAAAATTTATTTGAAGATGCTTCAGTCCATTTGTTTTTATAATATAAAAGACGTCGTGATTGATTCAATCCAAGTGTTTCACGCATTTGTTTGCATAAATCCAAATCCAATTCTGCGTATAAAATGCCATCGCGAACGGTTGATAAACTCTGAAAATACAAAAGAGTTGTTTTTTATTATTATCTTTTTTCGATAACATTTGGTGAAATAAACAAACCTTAGTTCTGCTTCCATTTGGACCTGATGAAAAAAATGTCAGAAAATAAATTTGTGGTCATTAATTTTTTTTTGTTTGAATTTTATTTAAATCATAGTTTTGATAAGTTTGATGTGCAATTAATCTCCCCCTGCAGAAATGCTACTCTTCATAGATTTTTTGGAAATTTCTTCGATTTGTTGGGGGGTTTTGATGATAGAATGACGCTCCGCGATTTCATGTAACAACCGTCTTGCATCTTCAACGTAAAAACCTATGATATGAATTATGTTTACCTGAAATATACGTCGAACCAAATGGTTTGAATATTTTTTCTGCACCGGATTCCAAATGAAACTTCTCAATTCCGACCCGATTCACAGCCACCACATAGTAGCTATGATCAAAAGCAGCACTGCGTGCTTCAATCGGCCACCAACTATCGGTTGCACTCTACAAACCACACAAAAATCAAATAAACATTCGAACTGGCCAAACAGTTTTTTTTTGTGAAAATTTTACAGTTGCTGCTGGATTGAAAACAATTTCAGCTCCGTTCAAGGCGTACATGAGCCAATTTTGTGGTTGATGACGATCAAAACAAATGGTCACACCGATCTTACCTAGAAAAATCCGAATTAGTCATATTAACAATGTTCCATTACGAATGTTGGATTGACTTACCGAATTTCGTATCAAAGACGCGTTGCCCACTCATTCCATGCGTATAATAGTCCGATTCACCATTATTTGTTGGTATATGATTCTTTCGTTGTGTTCCCAAGACAGTGCCACATTCAGATACAACAACGCTTGTATTCCATAAAAGGTCTGCATTGTCCCGTTCGATAATTGGCGAAATGATTACGATAGCATGTTTTTGAGCTAGCTAAAAATTAGAATTCCTTTCAAAAAAAATCTCTCACTTTATTTCATTTCAAATCTATAAATGTATACCCGTTTAATAAACATTGTCGACGGACCATTGTTACAATCTTCAGCGTACTCACACCATGGCATTTTTTCACGTGTAACAAACCCGAATGGCATATCTTTTTTAAAAAAAAGCGTTTGTAAAATAAAAGGAAAACAGAGAAAAATGGAAAGCACTCACTCCAACATTCTGGCAAACAGACGATATTTGCACCAAGCTCAGATGATTTCTCAATCATGTGCTCAATCTTTTTAAAGATTTGCAGCTTTTGATCTTGAATGGGTCGGTCGGTCGGTAGAACCACTGAATGTTGAATAGCGGCTATCTATATTGTCATTTCGAGTCAAAATTTGATATAAGAATAACAAGGCACCATGGAGATGCGGGCATCAATGAATTCCCGCACAAATATGCCCATATAATTTTTCAAGTGAACTTATAAGAAAAATGTTCGCATCTTCACGCTGCCCATAATAGCTCTATTTCCATTACCTTCGTTATTCGTGGCACTTGTTCATTTTTAGTTATTGCTGTAAAACGATATTTTTCAATATCGTAACTGAATTGCTCTTCGGAGCCCAAATAACTACGAAATATATAGAGAAAAAAAATAAACCAAACACTTTTATTGGCTCAATAAAGCCGAACAATTGTGAAAACAAACCTTAAATTCGTTTGATCGCCATACAAAATTCGATTTACTTCTTTCAATTCATTTTTTGGCAAAAATTCCTGCAGAATATCATCAATTGATCTTGTTTCCATCACAAATTAAGTGCGAATAATAGATTTAAAAATGGATACGTTCAAAGTCGCCTTTTCAATTGGAATATTTTCACTAGATTTAGACAAATTTGATTTAAAATTTTATGAAAAATGACGAAAAATTGAAAAAAAAACGGACAAAATACAGATTGCGTGCCTGCAATCAGAGCCGTGACTTTAAATAAATCTCGTTTAAATGAATTACATATCACTCCAGTGGAGTATATTTTTCTTGCGTTCTATGTGCTCTGCACAGCTGATAAGATATGACAAACATTTGTTTTCATCAAAGTTGCTATTCTGACCAAGTTCAATAGCTTTTCTGAAGATAGTGCCATTTGTCTCTGTTTTTTATGCACAATCTTCGACGTGATAAAAAAACACCATAAATTCCATTCAATTGCTGCGTTAACAATATATAATGAGCAAATCATTACTGTTATTGTAAATTTTGACGTTTAATCATATGCTGTGTATGTGCAGCTGTCAAAATGTGTCCGTTTGTATGTATGCGTGCCACACAGTATCGGTGTCACTGTAATATTTGTTGATGAGTTATTCCAAAACATTTTGACAAGCGATTCCATCAACTCTACGGTTTTTCGACTTAAAATTAAATTATGGAGCTGCGTGAATTAGATTCAGAGGCGAAATTGGGCGCCATAAAAGATATAAAGAATATGTTTTCGCGGCCCGGCCAATTGGAGCGTGTGGATTTGTACAAACAACGAGAGGGACGGAAAAAGGCATCGCTTGAGGCCCAATTAAAAACAGCAATGCAAAATCAACTGGACGACGATGGAATGGGACAAAAACAACTCGAAAATTCAATGTCTCACATCAAAGTGATCGATGAAAAGTAAGCCGTTTAAATTCTTCTTTTTTATTTGACCGAATTTCTAAATCTTCTATCGCATAAAACAGCATAAAAGACGTAAGCACGCTATTGAAGGATGTTCCAAAATTGTACGATAAACTCGAGCATGTTCGTAATGAAAATGCGAAGCATTCACAGTACGCAACGGTTATGGAAAATTTGAAGCATATCTTTTCGGTGCAATCAAGTGTGGCCAAAACAATGCAATGGATTGAAGACGATAAACTATTAAACGCCCATCAATGTTTGACCGATTTGGAAAATTCACGTGATGACATTTTATTTGAATTGCATAAACTGCCGAAACAATATGCTCTTGATAAAATGACGTTAAAGAGCAATTTTGCCAAAGTTGAAGCCGTTTCGGCGCAATTGGGACAGAAAATTCGCTTGATACTTGATCGATGCTTGGCTACTGTTCGCAAAGAACCAACAATTATTGTCACTGCCATGAGAATAATAAAACGCGAAGAAACGGCCGATGCATTCGCATTACAGGTACACAAATTCATTCAAATATAGTCTTTAAAATGCTTTTTTTTCCTCGGAAAAAAACTAAAATAATTGAATTTTGTAGCAAAAGCAACAATCTGGCTTCATTCCACCCGATCGTCCGAAAAATTGGCGTAAAATGGCAATGGATGCACTGTATGCAACGGTAACCGTTCGCATTGAAGGCTCCAAACTTGAGGAACGTTCCGACAATAAATTGTGGCTGGTTCGAGATTTGGAAATAGCACGTCAATTTATTTTGGATGATTTACGTGTGGTGAAACAATGCTGTGTACCATGCTTTCCGCCTGAATTCAATATATTCGAAGAGTATGTGAAAATGTACCATACAGCACTGTCGAAACATGTGAGTCTTGGCCATTTTGTAAATTCTTTAGTTTAAACTGTTAATTGATCGGTTTGTTTTGGTTAAATGTTGACCATTAGTTGGAGGAAATAATTCAAGGCGGTTTGGAGGGTAATGAATATGTATCGTTGTTAGCTTGGGTGATGAACGTCTATCCAGGTCCAGAACTTATGGCCCATCCTGATTTACAAGTCGATCTATCCAATATGGAACCATTAATCAAACCTGAATCTCTGAAGGAATTGGAAAATGAATATTTAAAGGTATATTGTATGCACTCAGTTTCAATATAAATTCGACTGAACACATGAATTCAATTCCATTAGATTATGGAGAAAAATTACGAAGATTGGATGACAAGAGCCGTTGAAACGGATAAACAAGAATGGATGTCGGATTCACCACCGAATCATGAATGCCAAGAAAGATCGGCGGCGGTCATCATTTTCCAAATGATTGATCAACACTTGCAAGTCACCAACACCATTCATTCCGAATTCACATTTAGTGCCTTAGTTTTGAGCATACAACAAGTCACCAAATATGGACAAAACTTTCGTCAATGCATCATCGAATATAAAGATAAGCATTTCAAAGATCGTAGCCAGGTACTACCACATCATTATTTAACTTTGTTTTTTTTTTTTTTTTTTCAAATCATATCTTTGATTATTATTATGTTTTATACGTAGATACCGTATTTCACGCAACATCTCATCACAATTGTGAATAATTGTCAGCAAATCATGGAGCTGGCCCAGCATATGAAACAATTGTATTGGCCCAAATCTCGAACAGATCATTATGAAGAATTCGAACGACTTTTGAAAACATTTCAAGTAAGCGCCTGCGACATCTTGTTTAATTCGATTAATTAAGATTTTCCCTACGTTATATCACACAGAATCTTCGCGATGAGGTTGGTGTATTTCTGTTGGAGGAAGCATTTTTGGACCTTGAAAAGCATTTCAGCGATTTATTTACGACAGCTTGGCTTGGCTCCTCACATTCGGTGGACACAATTTTGGTAACGCTCGAAGATTACTTTCACGACTACAATCTGTTGCGCGAAAATAATTTCGTCTATGTCATAAATGAGGCACAAAAAATGGTCACAAAACGTTATATTAAGGCAATGTTATCAAAACGATTGAGTAAACCGCGTCAAGATTGCGATGCAATTACAAAGAAAATTAACAAAGAAGCCAAACAAATTAAAACATTTTTCGGTAAAATTGCGCCGAATATGATCGATACGGATTCACCGATTGATTTAATTACGGTTATGGGCAATCTCATCAGCTGTGATATGGAAATGTTGATTTTAGATTTGCACACATTATTCGGCAATTATCCATCGCTCACCGAAGATCATCTTGTTCGATTGTTTTATATTCGGAATGACATTAAAACAAACGAAGTCAAAACGAAAATTCAAGACGCTATCAAAGAGAAAAAATCCAAAGTTAGCGTTGACAAACAAGATGTTGTCTTCAAAGAAATCGTTTTCACCGATAAATTGTGGTAAATTTAGACGGATTTTAATTTAAACAAAAAAATTATTATTGTAATTGCTTGCGAAAATCTGTATGACTATTATATTTTCGATGGAAACAATTGATTGAGTTGAATTCGAAGAGTTTATTCTATTGTTTATTAAATTAAATTATATTTAAGAAATATTATTAACTCAATATTCATTAAAACGATTTTTGTTCATATTATTACATACAAACAGTTCTTTCATTGAGTTCACTCAGAATGGAGTTCAAATTGATTGTTCTTTGTATGGACGTAATGATTGATAGCAGGAACATGGTGCTGTTTGAAAAGTGTGAAGATGTTGACAGTAAACCTGAATAGTGTTGTACTTATACGTAGAGTATCCCAAAATTTTGTAAGTTGAACATTTTGAGATGCTCAAGCGGTTTTCGTCAACTACTGTGTTGTTAGAATGGTTTTTATCTTCACAGTAAACATGTTTTTTATAGTAAAATTTATTTATAATAGCATTGATTTATTTACTCGAATCTTCATCGTCCAACCGTAAATCAAATAATTCAAATGGTCTTTAATGAGCACACAAATACAATTTCTCATTGTCTGTGTTACGAAGGCATAAATTCGTTTGCATATGGGATAGGGGAAACATTCTTAATTGATTTGTTTTGTCATTAAGCAGAGTTTGAATAACGAATGTTTGGATTTTCATACATACAAATGAGATCATGAAATGTGCACGTGAAAGGTAATCCAAATACGTATGAATTTGTGTTTACCTGATGCGTTATCATTTAATTAAATAAATCAATACGTTGCACATTTGAGAGCCTGAAACCCAAAACAAGTTATAAAAATTCTTTTCGGAGCATATACAGAACTGAGAATTAAAACAAAATATAAATTCAGTTAGCGACAAAACAAACAAGCGATATGTTATATTTTGACTCTCAATTTTTATTCGTCTCATGTTTTTGACGAAAGCAAATATAATATTTATCGGTTCCAAATAAAAAGATATACATTTTCAGTGCTAAAATGAGGCGAATAAAAACTGAGAGTTAAAATACAATATACAGAATTGAGAGTAAAAACAGCAAATCGATATATGCTACTTTTGCTCTCAGTATTCTATGTGTTTTTTTAACTCTCAGTTCTCTATATTCTCGTTTTGTGCTCAATAATTTCTTATGCTCTTTTTCCGAAAATAATTTTTATAATTTGTTTTGGGTTTCAGGCTCTCATTTGACATCAAACTAATGACTTTTACTCACACAAAATGAACAATTTGGATATTCGGTCGCTAAAATTAAATTCCAATGCTTTATATTTGTGAGAAGGGCTCTGTTTAACTATGATTTTAATCAATGTTTTCGGCACTATTGTTGATGTGTCGGTCCAATTACCAAACCAACAGAAGTAAATAATTTCGCAGAAAGTCATTTTATATGCATAGAGGACATCAATTGTTGAAATATCAAAGGTAGTAGAAGCACATGATTATTTATTCAATACAATATATATTATTACATTGAAAATACAAGGAGATTAATTTTTAAATTAAAAATGATAGAGACTAACATTTCATAAAATAAATTAATTTCAAAATCTTGAAACGTCATTCGGTGGTCAAAGGTATATAATGCGATGCTGCTTCGAATATCTTTTATTGCATGCAATTTATTTATACTCCCAATCTTCATCATACTCCTGATCAAATAGTGTCGAAAACTTCCTCAGAATAGTTTCCAAGCGCGATAAATTGCTGCCAAACAAAGAAGTTGGCTCAATTATCTCGGCAAAATGTTTGAATAATTCAATCGCAATGATTGCATCCTTTGCTGCATATTGGATTTGTGCGTTATCCAAATTTGATGCATCCCAATCCGAGCAGCGAACACTGATATCTTTATCAAGTATAACATTCAAGTATCTATTAGCCATTTTGGCCAATGAAATATTTCCATCATAGCATTTTGCCACATTGGCAACGTAGCGTAAATCAAGTGTACCAGCAATATGATCACGTGCATCTCCCCACTCAAAATAGTCTTGACATAAGTACTGTGCATCATTCGATGGAGAAATGCCAACCTTTATTATGTTACGGTCCATCAAGATGTTCTGTCAAATTAGAGAGAAACAATTATATTTAGAATTTGTTTATTGAATCTTCTAAGCATTTGAATTACCTTCAATTCCGATGGAATATACCGTAATTTACACAAACGGATAACAACACAGAGTCCACGGTGTGTGGCAAATTGTAATAATGCAACTTTTTGACGGCCACCTTCCCATTGACTTTTGTTCACCCATTCACAATCAAATCCAAGCACATTATACAGATCACAATGTCTGCAAATAATTTTAACAAAAAGAAAAAATGAATGAAAAATCGAAATTTTAAATAAAAATTAAGACAAAAAAACACATACGATTTAAGCTCTCTCATCGCGTATCGGCACTCTTCGATTGTGTTAACCACATAAATTTTCGACTCTTTTGGGAATGAATAAGGAGAATTTCTCTGAAATGGCACTAATTGTGGATGCGTCTCATAATCGTCGTCATCATTTGGCTGTATTGATAAATTATCGGAATTTTGAGCGGAATGATATGCAACGGCAGCTGACTGCAGCATTGATCCAAAAGATGATGATCTAGATGGTTGTGATTGTGAAGAACTTATTGGGCGATTTTGTTGCGTATCTTCCGAACTAAAAATCGATTTGAACACCTTGTAACAACCGTATCCAACAGCAGCTCCAGCCGCCAAAGTCGCAATGGTCGCAATGGTTTCATCTTGTGCATTACGATTACGACCAGCCATTTTTTTGTTCTTTTCTTGAAAAGTAATACACAACAATTCGTTTTAATCAGATAAACGACAGAACTTGAGTGAAAAAAAATGAAGAACACAGTTAAGTGTTTATTTTGACATTTGAAAAAATGTCAAAGCAGCAAATCAATTCGTAATGTGAACCAATACTTTGAAAAAAGGCGCCAAAACAAAACCATTTTGGATATAATAAAAATGAACAATTGAATTGTTTTTATTGATATTCGTATACAATTTAATTGATATTGAAAATACATTTATTCGTTTTTGAATTGGATGGCAGCTCTGCAAAGAGGACATTGATTTCTGTTTCCATCACTGCAATGCATTGAGTACTGTAGACATCGTCTATGAAATCGGTGATTACATTGAAGAACCGATATTGGCTCACATCCATCGAATCTTATGGTGCAAAAGATGCATTCTTCGCCGGTTCTTGAATGATTTTGACGAAAAAATTTCAACAGTTAATGGAAATCATCTATAGAAACTTTTTATTTAAATGAAAAATACTTACTCAACAAAACCGATTGGTGGCACACAATTTCCCTCTGCTGGTGGTACAAAATTTCCACATGGAAATGGTGAGAGTCCAACTACTAACCGCCGATCTGAATCAGAACGGTTGTTCCCTTGGAACTCTTCAAACTCATCAGGTAGTTCAATAACAGCTTCACTGTTGTTCAAGTGATTTTGTAACAGAATAGCACCAATCAATGCAACACCAGAAATAACAGCCGCAATTATCAAAGCATTTCTCAAATTATTATTTTCATTTTGATTCGGCATTTTTATAGTTAGCTATAAAAAAATGAAATAAAAAAAATTCTGAAATGATTTCATCACTTCATGCAACGGAGAATATCGCTTACGTTTTCCGGTTCTTTTAATGTTCACACTATCACTGCTCAAACTGAAATGATTGACCAATGACCATTCAACAAGTGTACCGAACAAGGGTGTTGAATTTGCATGTGCAATAAGGCACGGTTTACACATACACGCAGAAGCCTCTCGATCATTCTTCGCATATCCGAATATAGTGTGAGGAGAGGATGTTTCTCCAACACATTTGTAGTTGTGACAAGACTACTTTTAGGCGCAATTAAAAATTGATATTAATATAATGTCAATACATCGCGCACGATTGGGATGACTTCTACTTGTATCCTATCGGATCAGTTCATTGAAAAGCGGCAAATCGAAAAAAAACTTTGCAATTCAAAAGTTTTTTCTCATTTTGTGCAAATATTTACATTCATCATAAATTATAGACAGCATGTTTTCATCAGTTCAATTAATAAAATATATTTTGAAATGCGTAACTTTATAAGTATAAAATTGTAGCCAAAAAGGCTTAATCAAGCTTCATAGAATACTCGATAAAATGATATTTTCTTAAGTTTCTATAATAGGTATATATTTTATTTGTATAAAAAGTCAATAAAATGGGTGGTATATGCGTAATTTCGAAATCAATATTAAAGTTAAAAAAATAAATTCAAAATGAATATAGTCACTTTCAAAATGATTGCCAAAAAGCAAATCGACAAATCGAATTGCAAGTGATGACCAAGTAATAGATTTGCCAAATATTCGCCAGATTCATAGATTCGCGAATGTGCGATGGGTGTTTCGCGCTCGGTTTGTTTCAATGGATGCTCATATACTCTTCGGTCGTCAGAAGTATTAGTTTCCCAAATATTTCCGCTTCCAACGATCTGGTTCTTCAACACGGATGACATGATCTTGTTCTTTTGACCTCTCGTTTGTGGCTTAATCTTCATGTTTTTCTCGTAGTTAATATTCAACAATTTCCGTACGTGGATATCGATGATATACTTAAGGTGTTCAGACTCATTTTGAAAGGAGTCATCTGCTTCGATTTTTTTAGCAAAATATTTGAACAATTCGACTGCAACAAGTGCCTTCTCAGCAGCATATTGAATTTGTTCTTCAGACAATGTCGCTGCATTCCAATTCGAGTTTTGAATTGTTTTCTCGAATGACACTCCCAAATATTTATTCGACATCTTTTCCAGTCCACCGGAAAACGAAAAGCCGGCCATATCACGCATATAGCGCACATCAAATGTACTTGTAACATGATCATCATAATTGTCATGTAATAATTTTTTCAGAGTAGACAAGTTGCCGCCAACTTTTATGATATCGGTTCTATTCAATAATTTCTGGAAATTGGAATGGATGATATTATGCATATTAGAGATACGGGGATTTGTTATAATTGATATTCATCAACCATAGAATAATTACCTGTAGCTCCAACGGAACATGTTTCAATTCCTTCAAACGAAAGATGGCACAAAGACCACGACGAGTAGCCAATTGCAATGATGCAATCTCTTTGCTGCCATCGCCCCAACTGCTTACCGGTTCGAAGTCAACACCAAGCATATTATCGCAATGCCTTTAAATTATAACAAAAACAAAATCAGTAGTTAAATATAAAATCAGTGGCAGATATTTGACTATAACATACAATTGGAGCTCTTTCGTTACATATCGACACTTGAGTATAGTGTTAACCACATAAATTTTTGAATCATCCGGAAATTCGTGGATCGAATTTGATCGGAATGGAATTGATTGTGATAGAAAATCATCCCGTTTTTCGTTTGGATTGTTTTTGTTTGGTTTCTTTTTGATGGATCGTTTCTTGGACTGTTGATTTTCAATTGGTGATAAAATTGGCGGTGCTCCTGTCGTTAGAATTGGTGGTGGATTTACAATTTGTTGATTTTCAACACAATTGTGATTGGCGATGATGCATTTTATGTGATCATACTGATTTTCGAATGATTCTGTTGGTTTCAATATTTGCGCAAAGTATTTAAACAAATCAATAGCAACAAGTGCCCTCTGTGCAGCATAATAAATTTGTTCCTTTGACAATGTCATTGCATTCCAATTCGAGTTTTGAATACTTTCATCGAATGACACCCCCAAATAGTCGCTGGACATTTTTTCCAGTCGAAGGTCATCATACGGTGAAAGATAAGGAAAGGCGGAGGAAAGATCAGATGTCAAAAGAGCCACGTCTCTCAAATTAACTATACTTTCAATATTTTCGCCGCGATATTCTAACAATGACTTCAAATAGATTATGTTTTCGCCAACTTTTATAATGTTTACATCTTGTAATAAATCCTGCAAAAAGAGGTGGCATCAAATATCACAGTGCTATTAGCAATACAAATGCATGATTATTTTACCTCTAATTCGATCGGAATGTGCTTTAGTTTGGACAAATGAAAAACGCCACACACATTATTATGATAAGAGGCTAGTTGTAGTAATGCAATCTCTTTTCTATCGTTATCGCTACTATTCATCAGTACGAAGCCAATACCTAGCACCTTGTATTTGATGCAATGCCTATATTATTGAGAAGAAAAAATGTATTGGATAAACTAAAACAAGCTACTTGACAGGCTGTATTTGATGTCACATACAATCTTAGCTCTTTCACAACACGTCGGCATTCTTGGAGAGTGTCAACAATATGAAATTTCGAGTCTCTCGAAAATGGTTCGAAATTCGATCCGGATGAGGTAGATTGCGATGTTGATCGATTTGAAATAACGTCATCTTCACTTTCATCATCTTCAATTTCTTCGATTTTAACATGTCGATTTTCGATTTGTCGACTTTGAACCCGTTCATTTGGTTGTAGTTCGTTATACTTATACAAAGCATACCCAATCGCAGCACCAACTGCAGCTGTTGCCACAACTTTTGTAACTGTGCTACTTCCACTTCTTTGACTTCTTTGCCGATCTGGTCCCGAAGAAAAAAGTGAAGCGGCTCCAGCCGAAAGAAGCGATCCAATTGCAGCCGCACCTTCACTTTGTGGATCAGGCAAAAGATTCAGGGCAGATGTTATCATCGATTGAATCTTGGCCTCAGTTTCACTTCTCTGATTCATTCTAAATCATTTGATCATTTGACTTATACTTCTTAATAAATGTTATACTTCTTTTTTTTTTCACTTGATCAAATTACAAGAATGCGTTTCCAAAATGAACAAAGATCTTTCGCTTTAAATTTCATTTTGACACTAAATGTCATTGTTTACCGGCTGTCATTGCAAAAATACCATTGCTAATGTGAACCAATGCAATTTTTAATAGACAGTGCATTTGTTTGGAAACTGAATTATTAAAAAATAAAAAAAAATCGCTTTGATATTTCAATACAGATAAAAAAGTTTTTTTTAATTTGATGACCTTGCTACGTTCATATCATACGAATACACCAAAAATAAAAAATAAAAATGTTTCAATAACAAAAGAATTGTAAATCTAAAGACTTATTTAAAGTTCAAACTTGTGAACCATCTTTAAGAGCTTTTTTTATCTTTGCGTAACTTTTCGCTGGATACTTCGATGGCATTCAACCTACAAGAAAACAAATGTTTAATGAAAGGAAAACCACAGACGTTATAATTGCTCTTACCATAATTGAAGTTCTTGTGGTGGATCTGGAATTTTCTCGCCACCTTGGAATCCTTTCAACAATTCGACCACATTACAGTTGGTGATGCATTGTTTTGACATCGCAATAGCTCGTACAAATCCATCAAATGTAATGAATTTCTGTTCGAGATAAATGGCCTTTTCGTCCCACCAAATCAATTTGGTTTCAACTTTGTATGGGCTGAAAATTGGGATCGTTTTGCGATACCGAACAGATGAAGCACCTTGTACGGCACCACCTTTGTTTTTGCGTACACCTTCATACAATCCTGTCAGTCCATAGAAATGGAACCGAGCAAAATCGAGCTCTCTTACATACCGAGCATTGTTCATATGACGAATGAAAATATCCACATCTTGCGTTGTGCACAAGCCTATGTTGTTGTTGAAACGGACCATCACATTTGGTGGAAAAAACCATATGAAAACAAAAAATGTGGAAAATTACAAAAATATTCAAATCGAAAGAGAAAAAGAAAATGTACGCAGCAAAAATCACAAACCATAAATAGTGGTTGTTTCAGTAATCTTTCGTTTGCTTTGAAACAAACGTCCCATGGCCACGGTGAACACGCATCGTATAAAATAGTTTACATCCCAAATAATGTATAAAATCAACAATAAAATCAGTCCAAATCCCATTTTTGTTTTCCAAAAAAAAAAAATTATTCCGATCGAATTTCTGAAATGAAAAAAAAGCACAGACGCATCAAATTAGCATATATTCATCACATACATTCGGTGTATTTACATTTGTAAATTCACACAACAGCGAATATGATAAGAATATGAGGCGGGAAATGGATAACGAAGCAAAAAAACCAAATGTATGTGCGAGTGTATAGTGTTGACATGAAACGAACGGCCGAAACGAAAGTGCCAACGCAAATATTTATATATAGTATTTATTTTTTTTCAACATTGTTCCGCCTCTATTTATGCATTTCTTTGGTGACCCCTAATTATATTATGCATATCAATTGGAATTGCAATCGGCAAGGGAAAAAAGTTCAATTTAAAATGACTGGCAAAACCGAATTTTGTACGTCAATAGTCGAACAGTTTTTTTTTTTAATAAGCCGAGAATATTTTCAAGTTGCCGACGCTCACATAGTACTTACATAGTACTCGATATGAAGATTAAACTCCCTTGAGATTTGCTCAAATGGACACTTCAATGGTATGTGGGAAGTAAAAATCCGTTTTCTTCATGACTTCCATCGTCCAACTGAGTCTATGGCTCTTTAATTTTTCAACAGAAACAGAAAACTGACATTTGAAAAACGAATTGAAATTTCCCTCTCCACATAACCTTGGAAGCATTGGCAATAAAAAAAAGTTCGACTTAATTGTGATGAATCTAAAAATACACTCAATCATGAACGGAAAAAAATTATCATAAACACGGTAACCATGATTATCATCACCAAAATGGTTATCATTAAGTCATATTACACTTTCACTTCGGTTCGTCATGGCTACCGATTGAATAAGACGTATTAAATCGAGTATGAAAAAAAACTAAATCGTTGCGCAAATTGTTGCAGCTCATTTGAAATGCCGAGGTTCTAATACAAATATGTGCTATTGTGCACATTCTTCAATTGTTGTCCATTACAACGAGCTACACATTCATCGCCATTACCAAAGCCATGGTTCGCGAAAGATCCATATAACGAGCGAGAAAAAAAAATCATTCCAACTCATATAATGACCGGTAATAATGAAATGACACATACCCGAAACATACAAAATTATTAAATGATACGGTGAAAAAAAAAACTGATTGAAAATACAATGAATAAATTACAGAGAGAAAAAATATTCCGTATTCATAAAACTGGCTTTTCTTTTTCAGATTACATTTCTACAATTTGCTTTTTTTAATATTTACATGACAAAGAGGCGAGAAGGAGGCGAGAAGTGTGATGTATTGGAGATTGTTGTTTATTCTCGCGCGCAAGTTTATAGACTTTTTTTGAATTTGTTTTTTTTTTACAACAGAACAATAAATTGCGAGTTATTAACTATATAAAAGAATTGGCTGGAGCCAGTCACTTACGTGCGATAAAGTCCACGTTAAAAGTCGTACTGACAATATAACACGGTTTTATACCTCGATCGAATACCTGTATGTATATGCACGCATATTGCTTGATTTTGAAATAAAAAAGAAGTGGTTTTTTCCTACGTTTATTCTGTCTTCTTCTTTATAAATTATGTATGCCTTTTGGTTAATGTTATTTTCGAATCACTTCTTTTTCGGACACATAATCATCGAATATTATTTCAACAACAACAGCAAGCGTCCAATAAATGTGTATGTATAAGTGGGTTACACCTTTCTATTTTGAATTTAACGATGGACATGGTAGTTTTTGCTTCGCTTCCAAAATGTGTTCAACGCTTCAACGCGTTGATCATGGCTAAAATGTATGTTTTATGGGGTATTTGGATGCGGTTTTTTTCCTTCTGTGATTTTTCATCGTTCAACTTACAGTTCTTCGTATGAACGAAACAAAACTGTCCTTTGATCATTCGATACTAACAAGCAGCGAAAATGCATCGCCACAACAATGACACACACACACTCACACAAAATTGATCGCAGAAAAATGACGACTATTGAGATAAATATAAGGTAAAATGTGGAATATTTTCAGTTCGAATGCAGTTCTCGAATGTAATTGAAACAGTATACATAAATTAATGCATTCATTCATGCCATTTAGAATTTTATGAAAAATTACAATGATAATTACTATGACGCAGAGACAGAGACAATGAGAGAAACAGAAATGTCTGTGCATTTTTTATTAAGTTGTCTGATTAAGCATTCCATTTGCTAATAACTTTGCAAATGCGATAAAATCGAAATTATTATGATGTGCAGCATGTGCGGTCTCTTTTGTAAAAGATAACGCACCAGTATTTTTCTAATAGCGGAGACAGACAGAGAAGAAAGAGAGAGATAGAGAGAGAGAGAGAAAACTATGGTGACAACAAAAAATGTATGTTCATTTCTTATGTCGGTTGGTGTCATTTTACCAATTGTCTCGTCAATTTCTTCTTTTTACCCCGAAATCCGGCGCTAAAAACAAACATATGTGTGATGCATCTACAAACACTTCCGTTATCATGTGTTCGCTTCAAATTATGCCATCAGATCGGTGTTTTTAAGATGAACAAACACACACACACATTGAAATATTACACTATATTACCAACGAAGACAGTATTGGTCCATAAAATGAAATCTGTTTGCTAAAGTGTGATGCACATCAATTTTTTCTGCTTAACTCGATGCATATGTGTGCGAAGCAATATCGGAATATAAATGAGAGAGTCTCAATTATGTGCGTGTGTTCTGTGGATGACGTCCGCTGAACAGAATCGAATTTATGAATCAGAATAACCCTGTAATTAGATAAAAAAAAGTAATAATAATTCAAAGAATTTTCGTGATAAGAAATTACTAAATTGAGTGTGTTTAATTTCTCGGAATGCCAGGCCTCTCATAGAAATGGTATTTAAACTGTATCATTGTCAATTCGATTAGATTCACTAACTTTGAATGTGATTTCCGTGGATATTATTCAGATTCATTTTTCATTCAAATGGATCACAATTCAGTTTCGTTCGGAGCATGTCATGTTCGCATACGTGTGTGATGCACAGAATAAAATTTCGGTTAATGTTTTCAAAGTGTTGCGTACATATATGAAAAGAATGACGAAAAATAAAACTAGCATCAAAGCAAAGTATCAAGACATGTTTGCAAGCACGTGAAAGTCATAATTCTCTCTATCTCTCTCGCTCTTTCCCTTTGTGTAACACTCCAACACATTTTGGTTCTCGCAAGAATACTATTGGATCGTACTCTCTGCTGTTCGGCTTTTTGTGCATCAACAACACACCGTCAAACGTGTTTGTACTATACATATATATATATAAAAATGTATACACGGTACGTGATGAATCAACTACTCTATCGAAGAAGAGTTTCTCTCTTGCTCTTTTGACTTGTGTCATAACGTTTCGGCTCTAGCATATTGAAATCCATTCAACAGCCAGTTCAATGGTTTTAGAGTGGAACGATTTTTTTACAAGAATTTTAAAATTGTGACACATCTCTGATTTGAAAATTACAGTTCAAATAAATCACATGATTTGATTTGAGAAAAAATGATAAGGTGAAATCAAATCAAATGATATATTTGATTTAAGCTAGGCTTCTCAAACCAATTGATCTCATTATTTTTATTTATAAATTTTATAGAATACAAAATTTCCAACACGATTGCCGTCAGATTTGCGACACATTTTAACCCAAAAGTTTTAGGTCCAAAATGAGCACGAAGAATATGTCCAAACAGCCCCTATCAGATCGCATGTATTTGTTGTTGGGTATACTCTATACAGTACATGAACTCAATATTCGTGTCCCGTATACAATACACTTTGTTTATCGGAGAGACTGCTTTCCATTGACTACTATAGTAGTACACTACAGTAGGGTGCACTACGTGTAGAAAATTGTTATTGTAATAATGTCAAAATTTCATTCTACGTGCTCGGTCCAAAAGGTCGAAAAAATGTATAAAAATGGAATTTGGATGTAATTTTGCTACAATTTTTTGGTCTTTTGGTCTTTACATGCGTTGCCGTTCAAACACACCAATATCGATGAACTTTATTTAAGCCATCTACATTTTTTAAAAGTAAAATCATTCAGATTTTTTACAATTCTCTTAAGTACTCAGACATTATATTGAGATATTTTCAGCCAGCTGAATCAGTTCAGGGAGCTCCCGTCAAGTGCTGAAAATGAACGACAACGATAGGAAAACGAATGTGATTGTTATAGGTATAAAAACACTTCTATTGTTTTCACTTTTGTTATAATCACTATAACAATCACTTCCATTGTTTTCAATCCATTTCAGTCAATTTCAGTGCCTTGAGTTGATCAATTGGCTGAAAATATCTCAATATAATGGCTGTAAGTATTTGGAGTGTTTCCAAGAAAAGTATTGTATATTTTGTGATGATCGAATTGAGTATTATGGTTCTCAGATTTGGGATCAATTTTTAAAAAAATCATCAAATCAAATCACAAATCATTAACTCAATGAAAAATATTTATTTGAATTGTGATTCAGTTCAAATCAATTTTTTTGAACATTTTTAAATCAAATTATGATTTCAATTCATCATTATACCAATATAGTTTCAAATTAACATGACAGTGCGATAGAATATTTTGAATTTCTCACCGAAACACAGGTGTTTCGCACCAAAAATGAATTTTTTGCTAGGTATTTTGCGATTTTTCTGATTGTATTTAATTTCATCCCGTGTTTTCTCTATGTGCCTTTGAAATGGCACGGACGCAGAAGTCTGCACCTTTGCGTATATACACTAATTATTTGTCACCATACAATAGGTTCAAAAATGTATCCGAAAAGTGCGCGCCACTCTAATCGAACACACTTGTTCATTCTACACACTTTAGGTAGTAAGCTTTGTACGGCACAGCGATGAAGACTTTGAATCAGTATTGAAACAGCCTTTCACACGCCCAGTTCGTTTTTCGCTTTGTTGTTCGATGCAGTCGCGTGTTTATCGAACACGAAAAGGAAAACAAGCAACTACTTCGACTCCTAATAACGAACACGTAATTTTTGTTTTTAAAATTATGATTTAATACACCATAGAAAAATTACTAATAAAATTCGCATCATTTGGAAATTGTTTGGTTTTTTATCATTTACGACTCGGATTGCTTTATTTTATTGTGTTGGCAGTATATAGTGTATGTTATTTAAAAAAAAAACAATTTTTTTTGTTGTTTTGCTTTAAGTGTCTTTTGAATTGTTCTGTAATCTAAGTGAAACTATCGTTCAATGAAAACCATTACCATTTGAATGAGTGGATTGTTGTCAGTCACGTCAAAAGCTTTTGGAGCCGGACTTTTTATATTTGAAATTTTTTAAATGGTATGATAAAAAGAAATATTCTTTAAAGAAGTCATTGTCTCGCCATTGAAGCATTGAGTTTGTCTTTTTTGGAAATATTTAAATTCATTTAAAGTCGTGAAAAGTTTTCGGTGTGTGTGTGTGTGTGTGTGTGTTTCAGTTGTAAAAAAAGGAAGAAAACAGAAACTGCGTAAATGCAAACTCAATCATCATTCCAAAACGAACGATTCTCGTGGATTACAACATGGAAATAATAATAGCGACGGCAAATTGAAGCAAAATAATCCAACAACAACAATAACAATAATAATAACGTGAATTGTATTTACAATTTCCAAACGGCATGGAAGAAACACACAGCCAACGCAAAATAAGCGAAAAAAAAATATATTTTTTGGTATATTAAAATAACCTTAGTTAGAGAGCGTTTAGCCTTCGTTCTCTCCCCATCCGCTCTTCTTTTATTTTTTTTATTGATATATACATATTATTTGGTTTCATTTTATATGGTTTTTGTTAGTTGCCAATATGTTCTTTTTTTCATACAGACAATGGTTACATACAGTTCACGACTTTATAATGCACCTCATTGCATATATATTTATATGAGAGTGTCGATCTTTTACAATCATTCAATATACATGTGTCGGTCGTGTATATATCGAGCGTAATTGATCCGATATTGAGGCGAATTTATTTTGATGTGTTTTCCGCTCTTAGGCGAAACGCACAAAAGATAAAAACACACACACACACCCGGAGAGTGTATGAAATAAAGACAAAATCTATATGCACATGAGAAAACTCTCAAAAAAAAAAAAACAAGAATAAAAGACTCACACACACACAGACACACAAATGTTAAGAGAAGATGTGCACACATGAGCGTAAAGATACAAATAATAAATAAAATCGACAGCGAAAGGGAAGAAACGTTTACAAATTTAATAATTTTGTTTTTGTGCCGTAATTTTTGTTGTTATTGTTGTTGTTGTATTCGCAAATGTGTGTATGCGAAAGAAGTGCACAGCTGAACTGAATTCCTTCGGTTGTGAATGCTTTTGATACAATATAAAATGTGCTATTCCTGCTGTTGCTGCTGCATGTGTGTATGTGGTGTATGGTGGTTCATCTGTCTTTTGAGCATAAAAATCGCTTCGAAACGGCAACAATAACAGACACAAACGGTTTGAAGAGACCAAGAGCAAGAGAGAAAGAGCAACCAAGAAAAAAAAGAGCAAGTGTCCTTTTTGTATCGACATGCGGCATCATCGAGGAAATATAAGTTCTTGTGTTATATCTTTTTATTTTCTCCATGCACGTTTTGTGTTTTCGTCGTCGTTTTTTGTTGTTGTTGTTTTTTTTTATTTAATTTTTGCATGCACCAAGCAAAGAGTACCAGTTTCATTCTTTTTCTTTGTACGTTCGACAATTTTCAAGAGCGTAAAGGGAAACGTGTTTCTTTTTTAATTTTAGAACATGGTAAAAATCGTTCGGAATATATATTTGGATATGAATGGTGTTGAATGGTGGTTTTGTCGTATAGATAGAAGAATATAGATACAAACACTCACACTCATGTACTTTTGTGAGCGTCCACATACAGTTTGTAATTTGTTTCTCTTCTGTTTGGCATTTTCGGTAGGTATGAAGTTTGTTTCTTCAACAGTTTGTAAATGCGCGCGAAAACCGAGAGTCCCCGAAAAAAAAGCGCAGAAAAAAGCGAATTCAGTCATATTCAGTGATGTTGGCTGTATGCAATCACTTGCCGCTTTCGGCAAATTATCATTTATGGGAACTGGTAAAATATGTGTGCGCGACCCACCACCTCCACTACCACTGCCACCGCTAGCACCATCGAAACTTCCATAAGAAACCTCTCAAAAATGTCAGAGTGGCAAACTCTGACGAAACGAATTTCAAAAAAAAAAAAACCACCACACTGAAGAAGCGAGCAGAAAAAAGTTTCATGAAAAAAAACACAGAATTGTGATTTTTAATGGCATTGTGTGACTCACTCGGTAGATTAGTAATATACGTATGCTCTGTGTGTTTGAGCATTTTGGTGAGTCTATTTGCGTGTCGTGTGTAGTAATTTCTACTCTCAAAACTCTGAGATCGCCCGGAGGCAATTCGCACGTAAATACACTTGGACCGAGAGTTTTTTTTTCTTTTACTCTTCATGTCATGTATTCGCTGTCGTTCATCTGCATTGCTCTCTCACATTTTCCACCGAATGAAATATCATTTGTTGTCATTAACAATCGCTTGGTGCTGATACTCTTTTACCTTCTACTTTTTTTTAACCTCTATAGCCTGGTTTTTTCTCTCTTCTGTCTCTAGACTAGATGAAAACGTGCTGCATCATATGATGGTGTGCACTGTTTCTTTTTCAGATTTTTGTTATTGTTGTTGCTCTCTATATTTTATACGAAGCATAATTAAAGCACTTATGTTTCGATGAATTGCTTCTATGGTACAAGATTCATTCACTGTGCACACACGTTGCAAGACGTATTAACACTACCACCATTGCCGCCACCGCTATCGCCAATTGTGTGTCGTTGCTCCGCACTATCGTATCATCCAAACCATTGTACTAACAGTGCCGCTCGTTGAATTCTAATTCGATCGTTAAATAACAATTTGTTCGTAACTCCAGCGCTACTTTTTTTTCTATTTCGACTTTTGCATGATACACTTGCAAAACTAAAGAGAATGGCATACGTGGCGTTTTGAAATCAACGATATTCGCGTGTGTGCGCTTAAAATCATATGCGCGCAAAAGAATTAGCTGTCAGTTAATGAATGAAAAGAAATTACACAAAACACGTAGAAAATGGTCTAAAAAATAATACAGTGGAAAAAATGTTTGAAAAAAAAAGACATGACAAAAACAAATATGCACACCGACCAACCGAGAAAAAAAACAAGTAATTTTAAAAAGCAGCACAAAAAACCGAGTCACATAAAATGTAATTAACCCAAGAGACGATGAAAAACTGAGAAAGTAGAAGGCAACATTTGAAAGCGCTTTGACCGAAAACCACACTAATCATGTGTGTCTTATTTTTGTTGTTGTTCTTTTTTATTGCAATTCGGACCCATTAGAATAAGAGCCTTTCATATCTCTCGTTTTCTCTCTTTTTCGCTCACTGTAAGACCATTGTAATTATTGTGAAACTGGCCTAAGAAGGCAAAGAGATGCAAATTAAGCATTATGTCCATTATGCTTATTTTCTCAATTTTCTCCACTTCCTTTTTTTTCAATTCGATCAGCAAAATTGTGTGTGTAATTACACATGTTTGAATGCTTGCTGAATGAGTCAATAGACAGCTATGCGCCAGTTAATTCTGTTCTGTTTGTTTTTTTTCTTCTCTTTTTGCGCTCACACACACTCACACTCGAGTCGATTACTTAAAATCTTCAACGTTTGATTCATTCACAGAAGCTAATGTGTGAATGAATACCTTTTCTGTTTCTCTTTTCATTCGACATACGTGACTCATATTGAATTTTGTTTATCGTTCTCTTTTCGAATCGAATTTTGCCAATTTATTGCTATGATATGTTATTGAGATGTGGTCTAAAAGGTGATTGGTACGTCCGAAACGAGAAAAAGGCAAAAAATTTTGATGCATTTATCTATTTCAAATTAGTCCGCGGGGAATATGCTGAATGTGCTTTGAAAAACCGTGTGCACCATGTCACACATACACTTTGAAGTGTCATGTTTTTTTTTATTTCATCGCACAGAGATGCACGTGAATGATACGCAGCACGGTCACATAGAATGTAAAGTTTAAACGTGAAATTAGTGGGTTTGTTTTTAGTTTCAATTACCGCCTTAGAACGATATATGAAATTTACAGTCTAATGTGCTAAAATGAAATCGACCCAAAGCATTAAACAATTGTTTTTTGAAATGCTGGTGCTCATGAGAGAAATGAATGTGTATTCAGTAAAAAAAAAAATCCATGGAATTTTCCTGTGAAAGTCATCTATTTTTTGTGTGTTCGGTCTAAACCAAGAGCATCATCAAAATCAAATGGGCAGTGTTTTCCAGACACAAACCTATAATAATCATTCGAATACACGACCAAAGACAATGCGTATACAACGGCAATAATCCACATATATACTATGTTTGTTTACATCGCCGGTCTTTGCAGCTCTTTATGCTCTAGATGAGAAATGTGCTGAGACACAAAAGAACGAACGAACAAACTAAAAAAAAAAAAAAAAAAATACCGAGTGTATTGCAGAGAAAACAACAAATATAATGATTTTCTCTATGTTTCTGTTGTTGTTGTTCCTCTCTTCTTTACATCTGTTCTAATCGTTTCATGTGCCATAAAAGTTTTGTTTTAATGTGCTCGATTCGATTTTGGCAAGCCGACCGACCGACAACCAAGAGAAAACAACAAAAATTATGCGGAAAAAAGGTCGAATAAAGAGAGTTTGACCGCTTTGATGACCGAAAGACAACTCGGTTCGGTGCTCTTTTTTCCCCTTTTAGTGTGTGGCTTGGTTAGTTCGCGGATTCAAAGTTGTTGTTTTTTTTTTTGCTCTCTCATTCTTCAATCGTTCAATGGTACACATTCGCATTCCATTGTGCTGACTGTGTGCACGTCAAACGGGAGCGTTCCCAGTTTTTATCAACAATTATTTATCTGGATTGTACCAGTTTTTCGGTCCGAATTTCAACATTTGCCCTTGTTTTTGTTTCACTTCTTCATTTTATTACATTATTCTTCTCGTTCCTTTTTTTGTTTTTTTTTTTCATAATTAATTTCGTCATCTTCACGAGATGGCTCAACGATGGTGTTTGTTTTCTAGTTCACGTAGATAAACAAATTATTATTTTTTTATCATAGCGATAATTTTGTTTTAAAGCCAGTTTAAAATTGAATTTATTATATTTTTAATCTTTTTATTTTGTTTCTAGAACCTCTTAAAGAGACTGGAAATTATTCATCATACGATATAATTGACAGTAATCATTGCGGTATAATATCCTTTTACTCGTAATATGCATTAGCAAGGCGTAAAACGAAGTAATAGAAGGCTTCGAAACAAAGAAGGAAAACACGAAAGACGAAAAAGAGAAAAAACAAACAGTGACCGAAATAAAGGACAAAGTGAAATAAAGAATAAGAAGAAGAGGAATAAAAAGAAAAATAGAATTCGAAACGAATATTTAAAAATGCTTGTAACAATGGATCCGAGTTCGGGCCCACAAAGCCGTGGACCATCAATAATGGACAGCCCAACATTGGCACGTGTTGAACGTGCACGTATTCGATTAGAAGTGCAAGCAATGAACAATAATGAAAACCACAGTTTAGATCAACGCATCATCGATTCAAAGGTGAGTCACAGCCACAAATATGATTTTATTTTTCTGTTGTTGTTTTTCTTTTTTTACGTTGTTATTGTCATTTTCTACATTGGCACTTTTACAACCGATTTTACTGATTGCAATCGATTGACTCATTAGTTTCTCCATATACAATTGATCTCTATTTATGTTCGTTACGTACACCACACATGCAATCCATACGCTGCGCTTGTATCACTATTTCTAATATTGTTTCATGTGTGCTTCATTGCATTCGATATTCATCGATTTCTGACGGCATTGGCATTCATTTCAATCGAACATAAAGAATCAATTTATGTTAATTTGATACGTGCGTAACTCCGCGCCATTAAATGCCAAAAGAATTCACAATTTTGTGTTCCCTCAAATCGTTTGGGTTATGTGCGCGCTCGTCTTATGCTTTTTATTTTCTCATTTCTTCGTCAATCTCTTTCTCATTTTCTCTTCGGTTTCGGATATTGTTATTTTTGGCAATTTTCAATTTTTGTGTGTGCTTCACTAAGCGATAAGTGTTTGTGTATGCGTATATCGGGTAGCTAAACATATGTACTGCAACACACAGGTATCAATAATATGCACCACACACACACAAAGTCATTGAACTATTTTCTTTTGTTATTCGTTTTTTCCATTCGCTGTTTCTCTTCATTCAATATATTTGTCTCAATATTTTAATAAATTGAAATCATAAAATGCATCGATTTCGAGCGAATTTTGAATTAAAAAAAACGAGACAGACGAAACGATGTACCACGAATCGAAAGAGAAACAATTGTCAAACATGAAAAAATGAGCGAGACAAAGTACTAAATAAAATAGAGACAATTTTATTGAATACATTGCGATTCCCGGTAATTTCATGAGTTTTTATTTTCACTTGAAAGCAAGAGATGTTGTCTCGAATTCAAAAATCCGGCGTGACAAAATGAATGAAAAACCATAATCCTTTCACCATTTCTCACGCAACCAAATACTATGTGTATTGGAACAATATAAACGACATTTATTCCCAAATGAATAAAACACCTTTTTTTCTCATAGACACAGGTTGTCAATAATAAAAAAAAAATTATCAGGCCTGTGATTGGTGACCTAATAATACTTTGCATTGAACAAACATGATGATAAATAAAAAAAATTAAGAAAATGCGAAATAATTACCTAAGTGTCATAATCTCTTAAGCATAAAATGTGCTGTTCACGACATCACCAATTTTTTTTTAGGTGATGTCATTCTCTCTCGTCTCATGGAGAATCGATTTGCCATGATGATTCATGTATATGTTTTTGTGCGCTTCCACCTCATTCGTTATTCACTTGCGATCTTCTTCATACTACAATATACTGTGGCACCATCGTGCTATTATGATATTTGAATCATTTTTGCTGTGAAAAATAAAATCAAGCAACAACTGATGCTAGGTGCGATCTTGCTTAGTATTCATATTATTCAATCAAATCAATATTTATGGTGGCAGCTGAGTTGTTGATTCGCTCAACACTCGAAACCATTATGACACATGCGAAAATTTCCGAAAATTTGCATATCGAATTGATTGAACTGTAGAAGCATATTAAATATTCGTTCATTTGCCAACCATTTTGCGTGCGCGATTGCGTAAATTTCCGAAATGAACAAAACAAAAAATCATTCAAAATAAACGAATTCAACAATGAAAAGTACATCTAGTGAAATTGCAATTATTAGACGCTGATCGTTGAATTGTATTTTATATGTATTAGAATCATTTTTTACGCCTTAAATCTGAACCGAAGGTTGACACACAGAAGAAAACATTTGCCTTTAATAAACGATGTGACTCACTTTATTTTGGATGCACACAACGCACGATTCAATGTGGTCGATCGACCGAAATGGCGATTGGTTGACCTTTATGATTATGTCAAATGTGTCAGATTCGATATAAAATCTATTAATTAGGAAATGGAAAGACAGAACAATGACAGATATAAGTCGAAATCAACGATAAGTATGATACATTAAAAAAAATCATCATTTGAGCAATCGAATATCGATTGTTTCGTCATACGGAAATGTTAAACGATTGGTATATATGGTAAAACCCGGAAGATTTTCAACAAGAAAAATGACATTTTTAATCTGTAAAAATCATTTAGCTCATATGACCATATTCCGTACCCGAAAACTTTTCGCTTCACAAACAAAAACCGTTTCGAAACAGAAAACTTTGTGTTTTTTGGAAAACTATTGTATTTACGTAATTTCTGCTAGCTACTTTGAATAGAGGTGTTTTTATTGTCGTCGGTCGCAACTGTTCGTTTGATCTCCAGATTTTGTCAACAAATATGTTTGTGTGTGTGTGTGTTTGTTGGCACATTGTCGTCATTGTTCAGTGTATGTTACCTCTTCCGTCTCGTAAATATGTTCTTCGATTGGCAGCTGCAACCGTACTTTTCGTCGTTATTATTGTTTGGATTTCGTTCAACATTCCATGTGCAGCCGATAATATTGTATACTCTTTTTTTTCGGCGTCACAATGTCTGTGAATAAATGTGTAATTGGCATGTTGCGTGTAGACATGTTTATTTCGAATGTGTACTTAATAAAATGCGAGCGGTGCTACTTCAAAATGACGTATTGCGCGCAAAAACAACAAAATAAAAATTTCTTTTTGGAAAATTTCCGGAATTCATGTATATTGTAGCCCGATTGACAAATGACTGGTGTGCGGTTGAAAAATGCTTTTTTGAAACATGTTTCAGGTGTATAACAATAACCTGAATTACCGAGCAGAGTTAGTTCAAGTGCAGATGTTACTTTGGCACTTTCAAACAATAAACTGAATTGCAAAGGTGATCATGAGTTAGTTATCAGCCTTTTTTTTCCTATTCACATTGGGCTTGACCCAATGTAAGAAAAAAATGTGAAAAAAAATGATTATGATGCGATGGGAATTCACTGAATATTTTTGCATTCAAGCAAAATTTGATGGTAAATTGAAGCGTTATTCATTTCAATCTATTAATTTATGAATGGTCAGCCCCTTGCAAACAAGTTGCAACAATTCTTTCGTATGTTTTTTTTTATTACCATATTTTTGAGTCCAGTTTACAATCGCGCGCCTTTCTTACATTGTACTTATAAAGCACTGAATTACAATTTTGTCGTAATAAAATTGGCGTTAAAATGAAAATGGTTTGTTTTGGGGCCAATTGCCCTTCATGGCGTGCATACAATTATCTGTAATTCGCTGATCGACGACCTTGATTCGATGTGTGTGCGTATGTGTGTGTGTATGGATGTGATAATTTTTCGGCAGTGACTCTCGAGTGTCATAGTTTGCATTTGAGTTCACACAATTTAAATTGGTAAATGTTATGCAAGTATATCTGACCAATATCTGCTGTGCTACCTCTTGCGATAAATCAAATGAAAACCAGTTAAAATTACCGTTAGTTTCGAAATAAACATTGAATGTGTGTTTGCCGCGGAGATCGTGTACGGCGGCATCTTATTCGCTTGCTAATCAAAGAGTACATTGTACTGCCATCAAAGAGTACAGTTTCAATAATAAAATGGAGAAAAAAGCCATACACACACACACAACCACAAAACAACACCATTGCACGGCAGTTGAACGGGCGGCGATGTTGTAAATTTTGAACCAACGAAGCGAACACATGAATTTTAAGACCAATGACTTTGTATCTCTCTATCGGACAAAGCGAATCGCCCCAACTGGCTACGATTTAGTTTTGGTTTTCTGTTTTCGATTTTGTTAATTTTTTTTTTGCGTGCAATGCCATGATCGCCACTGTGTACGTCCAGTGTGCTCAGTAGACCACAGAAACATTTCAACAAAGCATGTGAATAAAAAAAATCTCAGCGTGCACAAATGATGTACGAGAGCGCAAAGTGTGTATGCCTACTAGATAGAACTAATGAGGCTATTGCATTTTTATTGCAAACCTTTCGCCAATTTCATCGAGTTTTCATATCGAGTTTTTCAAAAAAACAAACTCTATTAGATATTGCCATTAAACGCTGGTCGTAATCAACTTTGAAGAAATTTGCTACTCAAAGCAATTCTTTTGTTTTTCGAAATTCTTTTTCCTTTCAAATGAAGAGAGCTGCAATTTTCTTGACATCATTAAAATAGAACACGAGAGGTTAGATCTAATCAACACACGGCAATGAGTGATATTGAAGCCATTTTGATCGTGTCAATGCGTATGCAGATTCAATGAAATTTTACTATATCAAGGAGAAATTGTAACTCGTTTCGTGTGTAAAACATTTATTATTGATCGCATTTCATACGAGAAAAATCGAGGTGAAGAGCTATAGAGAGAAATGACAAAGTCATCGTCGAATGAATATCAAAAGTGATTAGAGCGTAGAAATGGAATGGAAAAAGGGAGATGCGCGTGATAGATAAGCAATTGGAATTGGTTACACTTGATGGCGCTATGATGATGCTGTACGATATGTGTGTGTGCGCATCATTTTTCTCGATCACCATATATTCAAGTTTTAAATGCCACTTATATGGCAAAAGTGATATGAGCTGCCTGTTCGACAAAAATGTTTCTTTTTTGCTCAAACATAGTTTTGTTTGTTTCGTATCACATAAGCTACTCAAGTGCATGCAACGTGTTTGTGTCGCATTTAATTTTTCTTTCTTTCGTTTGTTTTTTTTTTTCTCTTTTCGTTCAGCTTAACAAACATCAATTGATGCCAGTCCGTCGTCTTTATTAAATTAATGTGTTTTTATTTTTGTTTTCCGTGTTTTATATTCTCCATTTATATATATATATTCGCTTTTTTGCTTTCGTTCGTTGTGCGAGCAGCGGAAACAACTTTCGCTATTTCTAAATGTTCAATGCCTTCTATAAATTACACCTTCCCACTTTTAGTAATGCAGTTGATTTGTTCATCATTTCCTAATTTTTCAACAGCATTTCTTACACTCGCACACAATCTCTCCCGCTCTCGCTCATTCACT